TTTAATATTTTGTAATTTCAATATTTAAAAATTAGTTAATAACTTAATAGAATAAAGGATTCATTTTTAACCTTCTAAATATTTCCCTCAACACATTTTCATTAAATAGTATGAATAAAAAAAACCTGTTGTTATGGTCTAAAGAAACTATACGTAAAAAGTAAAAAATTGCGATTCAACCACTGTGAAGTACTTTGTCTGTTTAACATGACTTTTTTTTAAAAAAAAATCTATATTAAAAAATTATGACTGCTGCCACTGTTTTGTGTGTTCTTGCTATGCAAAAACTGTTAGTCTTAGAAACTTGAATTCACTGAGGTGTGTAGAAACGTGTATAAGGATTACAATGAATACAAAAAAAATCAACATTCGATAATTTGTTTGAGAATTATTAACTGTTAAACTTGTTTAAAAAAAATACCATATGGACTGTTCTATGGGCTTCAGAGTTAAAATTTGGCATGCTGAAAAGGAAATATTTGTTAAGAAATTTAAGACATATTTTTTTTCTTCAAAATTCCAATTTGTTTGAAAGTAATTGCAATTTTAAGTGCTTTTTATTGCTATTGATATGTTCTGTTTTGCTGTTCAGAATCTAAGATTTATCTTATTTGCTAACTTAAATCTATATAAATCTATCTTTGCTGCTAACCTGAGATTAGGAAGGTTAGTAGAAAACAATGCAAGGAGTTCAATGGAATAATAATAAAAAAAAAATCACAACTTTATTATTAGTTTGAGAACTATTAACTGTGAAAGTGGTAGTAAAAAAAACAAAACATGTTCATCGATCTACTATCCACTGAAATGCGATAACTTGTAAAATAACTTCTCATTTATTTCCTCTCATTGAGTCTCACTATCTGTTTTCCTTAGGTTAATTTCATTTCAAATACAGAAGATTATTTTTCAAATCTGAGTAATTGTTAATTTTTTCCGATTAACACATTAACAAAATGTTCCCTGCAATAATTGCATTCTTTGAAACCAAAACGATTGGTGTTGTTGGGAAAGATTTTAATATGTAAGAAGAAATGAACAATGATGAATGTGAATAAATTACAAGGGTTGGTGAGCATAGCCTATAAGTAATGTAAATAAATGCATAATTAATGGTAGATTTAATTTTTTCTTTTTGTAAGCAAATTAAAATTTCATTAACATTTGAACTACAATAGGATAAGTACCAATACAACTTTTACAATGTGTTAAATAATGAAATTATTTAAACTGATAGTAAACACAGTCATGGATTTTGTGGGGTATACTTCGTGGTGTAAATAAAAGCAATAACTGGAGAAGGAGATTTAACTTTGATCTATACAATATTTATAAACAACCTGATATTATTAAATACATAAAAATAAATAGAATGAATTGTATCGCCCACGTGATTCGAATGAGTGACGACAACACAATAAAAAAGATACAGCATTTTAGATTCACTGGAAAAAGAAAGCGGGAAAGGCCGTGGTTGAGATGGGCTGACTCAGTGGAGTCTGTTTTTCTCAGCAATTAATGAAAAAATTTGGAGATCAAAGATAGATCGGAATTTATCATGGAGAAATCTTCAGAGAAAGGCATTGGCTCACATTAGGCTATCTAGCCAACTATGGTGATGATGAGTAAACACAGTCTTAAAAATTAAAATGTGAAATATTTTATGCTTCATTAATGACAGTTTTTTTTTGTGGCTTTTTTTCTATAAATATATGGTGGCAAGTAAACAGAGATCCGTAAAAACAGGAAATAGTCCGGTAATTTTTTGTTTCTGAATTGGCTCACTGGCCAGGGAAAAATTATAAAGGCACTCCACCAGTCTTTTCATTGAAACACAAAATCTCAATACCGAAAATTTGGTAATTTCAGCCCTAACGAGCATTTTAAGAAAAAATTACAAATTCAACTTCTGTAAGGAAACTTTGGTTTTACCTATTTATTTCTATAAGGTGATTTTTTAAAGAATAACAAGGTATGAAAAGAAGGGAAAGTGAAATATTCTCCTTGGGGTTGTGCAATATGGTCACTGTATAAAACATTTTCTTTCGTTGCATTAATGCCCTTCACTAGTGTCACTTCTCGCAATCATCATTTTTATCTATGGATTTCATTTTCTTTCATTCTTTGCATTGAATTTATTATCCTTAATTAGCTATTTGTAATTTTAATTTTATTAAAATATGAGATTAATGTTTTTTTTTTTTTTTTTTTTTTTTTTTTCATTTCTGTTTCAATTTCCGATGAATAATTTTTATCAGTAATTGGTAACATTTAATTTTTCAGATTTTTATTCAATTATCAATGGGAATTGCATATCAAGATTTATCTAGATTTTTATTGACATAATTTACAAAATAGATATTGAAATTTATTTTATTGCCTTATTTTCGTATCATGGATTCACATGCTTTTTTAATCGTATTTTTCCCTATTCATATACAAATTGAATTAAATGCCCTCTTGTTCATTTGAAAATATTCTTGTTCACATAATTATAAATATTTTTTAAAAATAATTTTCATGTAATCAATTACATAATTCCTTCTTTAAACCTAAGATCCCAACTAATTTTAGCTAGTCAGTATGCTCAACTTTGAATCCACTGCCCTGGCTGGTATATTTTAGTGTAAATTCCTGCTTAAAATGATGTGTAAGACAGAAATAATTTTATTTTTTCCTTAATGGCTAATTTAGGTATTAAGATGATATAAAGAATATAATAATTAAAAATTCTTAGAAAACATTTAGTATGTGGTGAAGATAAGCTTGTACCCAAATTTTCAAACATCTTTTCTGCTTGTTGTGAATCTTATAAGCATGAAGTACTTTTTGCTTGTTTTATGATTTATTATTTTAGCAATGTTTGCTTGTTTACAAATTGTTAAAATGTCTCTTTTTTTGTGATTTTTGACTTCTTTTAAGATTTTGAACTATTTTTTTTATGTATTCTTAATTGCAGCCTAAAAAGTTGCAATTAAGAATTGAGAATTAAATATATTGTGCAAATTATAGATGTTAGTGTGTTTTATTATGACAAATATGTTAAATTTTCCATGTTCTATATGGCAATTTAACAGGTCTAATGACTAAGCTTCATTGTGTATTTTGTGAATTGCATTTAGTATATCTAGTATGATTTAAATGTATTTTTTTGTGCATTGTTCAATTTGTTTGTTTATATAATACTTGTAGTTAGTTTCTAAAAATAGTTTGCAAGAAATCAGAGATAATTTTTAGAAGTACAAAATCATGTTGTGCTTTATGTAAAAAATATCAAATCATGAATAATTTAGAATTCTAAGATTACTTTTTTTTTAATTTTTTCTTTCTGTAGATGTGATGTTTGATAGTTTTTAAGTTCCTAAACGTTTTTATGAAATCTATTTAAAATTTGAAATTTTTTTCCAATTATATATTGTCCTATTTACAAAACCTAAAAAAGCATTTCATTAGCCATTTTTTAAAGTAGTCTTCTGAGTTTCAGAGGAGCTTTGGCAAGATGGGCTGTACATAAAAGTAATTTCAGCTGCCTTATTAGTACTGCAATCTTTAAATTTTTTTTATGCATCAAGATTGTGTGTAGGTAGATGATTAAAGGATAATTTGATTTAATTCACTAAGTATAAAGCATATTTTTCATTTTTAAATAATTAGATCACAAATGCTTTTCATTTTCATAATTAGTATTTGAATTTCTGGCTCAAGATCTACAAAGCTTAATTTTGCAGTCATAAATTCTCAACATCTATAAAAATAGTATATTATTCAATGAAAAGCTTTATTTCATAGGACAACAAATGAACCTTCAAAAATCTACCTTAAAATTAAGAAATCGGAATTTTGGCTATACAGTTTAACTAGCTCATAACAAACGTGAAGAGACTGCAATATTTGCTTGTTATAACTGAGTGCTTGTAAAGAAATCATAAAAGCTCATACATACTTACTAAATTATAATTATAGTATTTAAATTTTTTTAATTTATGCATTATACTAAAAAAGTTAGTTAATTTACTTTGAATTGTCTTATTGTCACTGTTATTGTTTTTTGTATAAGACTCGCGGCCTGATAAACATCATCATTTGCACCCCTTTTGAAAAAAATTTATGTTTGCTAGATTTATGACTCATGACTAACCTTTAGTTGTTTTTTGGAATGTGAAACAAACTTTTCGAAAAAGAAACTGGCTGAGCTAGAGTGTTAGAAGTACAGAGAAATATTATGAATCACAAAATTATTGCTCACTAAAACCAAGATTTGCTCCTGAAAAGGGAGCTATGTTCAATTTTTTCATTAAATCAATGGACGAACTTTTTGAATATTCTTTACATCACCAACACTTTGTTTTCAAATAAATTTAATATTTATTTTCATATGGAAATTTTGGGCTATCATTATTAACTTAAAAGAGGCAGTTCTAAATAACCTTACTACTGTTATTTGCTAAAAGGCGTAATGATTAATTTGGTTATTAACACCTTACTGAAGTGACACCAAGGAGTTTTATTTCATGCGAGAAAACGGAAGTTAAGATTTAGATAGGGTAGCTTCATTTTTTTTTTTTTGTTGTTGTATCGACTATATAATTATTCTTCAGAAATATTTTTTCCCCTCTCTTTTTCCCCCCTATTTTTTATCTCTTATGTAGCTTTGTTAATTAAAAATTGCAGTTGCAAAAATTGTCATAAGTTTTAATTTTTTTAATAAGCTAGCTAATGTATACTTAAAGTTTTTCAAAAATTTAAACTTTATATTTTTATTTTATTTCCTCCAAATACGTTAACTATTGATAGTTTAGGGTCAGGCTAAATACATAATGTCTGATCTGAAACTTAATCAATGCATTATATAAAAAAAAATATGTATTTAACTGGTGTTTATTGACTGTATTAGCGGGAGGGCGTCCATTTTTATCTGTTATATATCATGTATATCAACTATGGATATATTCAACTTTGTTTGAGCTGTTTTAATAAATACTTTTGTACTTTTCTTTTAGCTGCGGCCTCAGCATCTGCTAGAAAGGAGGTCATTCGTAATAAAATTAGAGCTATTGGAAAAATGGCCCGTGTCTTCTCAGTGCTCAGGTAATTGTGACTGCTTTATTGCACTCTATACAAAAACCAATTTCTCTCATGGTTGTTTTTTGCTATTGCATTCTCAACTTAGCCTTTTCATTAACATCTACAGTTTCCTATGTATGAAGGTAATTATAATATAGTCTCTGCATTTAGGGTAAAATAGTGTAAATGAAAGATATTTCTTTTTTTTTCTTCTATTAAAAAATGAATAATTTATTTGTTCAGTATGTAGTTTGAAATATTATTTGAAATAAATACTTTTTATTAATTTTTAAACCTATGAAATCTCATTCCCTTCTGAAGTGAATATGCTATTAAAAACAACAGCTAAAAATTTAATCTTTTATTTTATTAAGGAAAAAAAAACGCTTATAATTTTGCTCAGTTCTGTATGAAGTGAATAAATCAAGTCAAAATTTTAGTAAATTTAAAGAGCTTAAGTTACTATTTATTAGAAAGCTATAATGTTTTGGGTAGGATAACCATGCAGATTGTAATATCCAATTAGAGAAAAAAAACTGTAGACAATAAAATAATACTGTGCAAGAACAAAAAAATAAAATAACATCACAATGCAACAATCAAACAAGCTATTTATGAACCATAGTAAAAATTTCATGCATTCATTAAAATTATTATTTTAAACATGTTTATTGCTAAAATTATTATTCTCTTACCATATTATCATTCCCTCACTTAAATAAATGCGTATTATAATTTTAATAAGTTTTAATATTAAGCATGACTATGTTTTTCTTGTCTAGTACCTTTTCCTGTATCTTCTAAACAAAAAATTAAAAATTTGATGCATCTTTTTTCTTGTTGTCACTACCTGAAAACAATGTATTTCAAGAAAATAATAACTAATATATAAGTTTTTTTGATTTAATGAACAATTTAGAGTTCCCTAATTTATACAAGAAAAAAGGTATTTGATTATTAGTTATTTATTGAGGTTGATATTAAAAAGTTAATCTGTAACTCAACTTTTTTATTTATATTTTTTCTGGAATAAAATTAATTTTTATCACTATAAATCGATTTTAATTTCACTTTCAATAGTACTGTTTATTTAGTTAACTTAGAAATTCTACTATTTTATATAATGCATGTTTTGTTTTTAGAGAGGAGAGTGAAAGTGTGCTGCAACTGAAGGGTCTCACTCCTACTGGCCAGTTGCCGATAGGGACGCTTCAAGGTGGAAAAACGTCTATCAAAAATGGTAAATTTTTTTAAAAATTGTGTATTATTTTTGTATTGCTAGTTATTAATTATAACAATGAATAAAAAGAATGAATTTATTGTCAGAAAAAATATTATATAGTAGTTTCATAACGAATTATAGAGATTTCCTTTTTAAAAATTACATAAAAATTAGACTTAAAAACAGAATGTTGGATTTTATGTAGAGTGTTAAGTGTAGGCATTTTGTAAATATGTTTATTGTTGGCTACTCTACAAAACCGCCAGGCGTGTATCAGAAGAGGTAACATCAGCATCAGTGTACATAAGCACCTGAAACATGAGAAAAACCCAGAATTGTCGGGGAACACAAGATTTGAAAAAAAAAATTTGGAGATCAATTGCAAGATTTCATGATTTTTATGAAGAAGATTGCAGATTTCTTTTTTTACAAGTGATGCCTTTCTAATTTCACTATGTTTTGAGTTTTTTATTTGTTTTCCCCTGTTCCCATTAAATTTTGTACGCAATAAATTAGTTCTTATTCATGAGTTTTAAGATAAAGATCTTTTATTTTATTAATTCAGTTGATCTCATTATATCTTGCCTTGACTCTGGTTTTAATATTTATGTTAGTGCTTCTTTTAACTAATGTTTCTGTCAGTAATTTCTTCATTTTCTTTTTTTTTTCTTTATGATTAGGTATAAAATGTATTGCAATTTTGAAATTTTTTTTATATTAGTTAATTTGGAGATTTTAATAAATCTTTACTTTATTATAATTAGTTTTTATTATATTATAATTTGGCTTAACTTCAGTCAAATGAATAACATTAAATAACTTATATATTTATATTTGTTAGTTTTTTTTTGTTGGCTTAGTATTAATCATTAAAAAAAGTTTTTTTTAAATATTTTGTTTATGAATTTTCGTGGTTTGTTTTGCCATCGTAATTGTAATTTTTTTAAAATCTAATTATCAATCTTATTTATGAAGAACTTTTTAAAATAGAATTTTTTCTCGTCCCCCCCCCATCTATTTTTCGAAACATTCATCAGTTAATTAAATATGATTTTATTTTAATTAAATACAGATTATTTGTACAATATTTTTATTAATTTAGTTTCTTTTTTTAATTATTTTTTTTGGATGACTGTTGAAAAAATTTTCTTTTGTTTTATTGATTAATAACTTTGTTTCATAATTTAGGATAATTTATATATTTATTTTATGGCTAAGAATTAAAAATAGGTTTTTATCCCTTATTTATTTTTTGCTCGTCTTGATAAAAAGCATTATATTTTAGTTATTTATTCTATTCGACTTAATTTATTAATTATGGATTAATTTTAATTAAATATGGATTGTTAATATATTTGTTGGTTTCTTTTTAAGATGGTTTTGTTGGTGTTGAAATATTTTTTTTTCTTTTTAAATTAGTATTGCTTAATGAAGTTTTGCAATCTTAGCGGTTCTTATTTTTTCCATGATTAAGTTTTTTAATAGATGCTAATACAGGGTCCCACGGTCCTTGAAAGTCCTTGAATTTTTTTTGTTGCTAAATTTAGGTCCTTGAAAGTGCTTGAAAAACGTCTTAGGTCCTTGAAAAACTTGATAGGTCCTTGAATTTGTCCAATACTGCCGGCGACCCTTTTTATAAAACACCCGCGGATCTTTCTCGTTCTTTCTGTTTTGTTCCCGAGCTCTCTCACGTGGTTTTTAACGCCACCGTTTCTAACCGGGCCTAGCGTCTTGGTGTCTGCCAAGCGCGCGGAGCACAGCAGACAATCAATGCGTTCGGGGCGAGACTCCACTTCATCTTCTGTCGCATATGCTTAGATCTTCTTTTTTCTTATCGAAACTGGAATACTCTCGAATTTCGTAACAATATGTACCTTGTAGTTTTCAATAAATTTGCCGTTTTACCATCCGCACTTGTCCTTACGTTTGCGTCATTTCAAAACTTTATTGTAAAGCGTATTCGCAAAGGCACGGCTTCGTATTTGTGTTATGTAGTTTAGACTAGTTATGCCTGGGAAGTGCTATTTTAATCCCCAATGGATGGATAATCAAGCTTATAAAGAATGGATTTTATCGATGCCCGAAAAGAAGTTCAGAGCCAAGTGCCGATTATGCATGAAGGAGATCGATATCGCGAAAATGGAAGAATCTGCTCTGAAATCACACATGAAAGAAAGGTAAAACAAAAAAGCAGTCTCATGCCCTGAGTTCTCTTTTTCCAAAGACATCAACATCTAATTCATCTGGTGTAAATACTCCTTCAACATCGTGTGCCCCATGTGAAACAGAAACTTTAGTGGCCGAGGTAACATTGTCTTCTTATCTGGTCAAAAGGAATGTGCTTGATGCTGAAATTCTCTGGAGTCTGAAGTGCATCACTAGTAATTATTCATGTAACTCCTGTGAAGGGATTAGTAAATTGTTCTCCAAAATGTTTGCTGATAGCTGTATAGCGAGACAATTTTTTTGTAGTGCCACAAAGTGAGCCTATTTGGGCTCCTTTGGATTGGCACTATACTTCAAAGGGATTCTTATAAATGAGCTGAAGAATGTTGATTGCTACACTGTACTCTTTGATGAGACGTTAAATCAGTCTCTACAATCTAAGCAGATGGACATTATGGTAAGGAATTGATAATAAAGTTTGCACTAAGTATCTTACCTCCCAATTTATGGGTCATGGAACTGCAGAAAATATTTTGTCCTCTTTTTACAAATGCATGGATGATGGTTAAAAGCTCTCTAAAATACTTCAATTATCCATGGATGGACCCTATGTCAATTGGAAATTCTATTAGAAGCTTCAGTGTGAATTAAAAGAGAAATATTCCCACCAGGTCATATTCATTGGCAGTTGTGGATTACACATAACGAATAATGCTTTTAAACATGGTGAAAATGGGATATGTTCCTTCTAATTTTTATTTTCAGAAAGAATTGTTGCTGCATAACATTTAGAGAAGGTTGTGTAAATTATGGATGAATAATTTCAGAAACGATGTTTAATAGAGGAGAGGAGGGGGTTATGGAATAGTCATGGAATATGGAATACCTAAGATTTAGCTCTGTCTTTCATGCAGCCTTCACATGGAAATACACAGGATTAAAGGATTTCACCATTAACACCTCATTACCATTAGTTATAGATTGTGCTGAAAATGATTTTGTGAATTAATATGTAAAACCAGTAGGGTTGTTTTTAAAAAAATATAAATTTTAGTCCATAATACATATACTCTCTTCTCTCTATATAGGCAAAGCATTTAGGTATTATATTTGAAATTAATTATTGCCACAACAAGCATTGTTGCTTCTAGTAAAATAGAAGAGAATAATTTTTAAAATTGGTCTTAGATTAAGGTCCTTGAAAATTTTGTTGAGGTCCTTGAAAAGTCCTGGAAAGTCCTTGAATTTCAATCTCATCATAGAGTGGGAACCCTGTAATAATTGTTTATCCGGTTTATGTTTTTAATAATATTCTTACATTGATTAAATCTATTTAATTTCAGTTATTAACAGATTATCTATATATATGTATATATTTTTTTATCACCTTCGTACTCATAATTTAAAATTTTTTTTTTAAAACTTTGTCCAGTGAATTTCCTAGTCATTTTATTTTAATTTTATTTTTTATCTATTTAGATATACTTCAGTTTTATTGAGTCGTTTGTTTAGTATTTCATAAAATTCCTTTAATATTGAATATTTCTAACTTTGTGCTGACTTATTCTTTTTTATTTAGCACTTGCTGGATTTTCTCCTCATCACAAGATTACTAGTTTTGAAGAAGCCAAGGGTCTCGATAAGATCAACGAAAGGATGCCACCTCGAAAAGATGGTCCTCCTACTCCTCAGGGATCTGGCGAGGATCGTGGTGGGTTGTCTCACGGTGTGAATAGCTCATGAGGAAAGCTGTAATAAGCCTTCGAGCTCTAGCAATATCCCTATATGCTCTGAGGGCTCATTGTGGGGCAGTTACGTCATCCGCGACACTCTTTCAAGCAAATATACATTTGAGTGCTTTTTTGCAGTTGCTGTGGAACTCAATAATATGGTGTAATGCCCTACAAACTCAACAAAATACCCTATTCTTTGCTTCGGGTGTCTTATACACATAGTGTTTGTGGGGGCACCTGGTGAGCTGTCGAGATGCTTTCTTCCTGGTGCGCAAGCTTTTGTTAATATATGTACACATTTTTTTTTTTTTTGGAACTTGTGTAATTGCAAAGTCATTGATTTTATATCTAATGAATTGTTAATCCTGGTGAACATTATGACTTTTTTTTTCTAATTTGCTGTGTTTTACAATATTTGTATTTTTGATCGTTAAGTCTCTTTCGCGATTCAGCATTTGTTTCTGTGAAACGGGTTGAAATGCTTGTTAAGTAACTGATATTTATGTTTTGACATCTTCACTTCTCACCAGGGCTGATGCTCCAGTGCCCCTTCAGCATGGCTTTCTAGTTATTAATCTTATAACACTCCAAAAGCTGTGTCATTTTGTGTAATGGTTTGGAGCAAAGCTAAGTAAGATCCAGGTTTTTGTCTTTCAACCTCCCATGAAAGCCTTGTAAGTGAATTTAATTTACTGTTTTGATTGTTTCAAGAAATGCTTAATATTTTCAAAAACAAAACTGTGATGAAACAAAAGCAGTTGGAGACAAGGAAAGGAATTTCAGGCTAAGAAGAAAAAAAATATTAAAGATTATATATCAAGTGATTATAAACCTTTATGACTTATAATGCTTGCGAAATTGTGTTTTATCCTTTAATTGTCTATTTTATGTTGATTCATTCAGTCATTAAAAATGTTTTATTTGCAGTATTTTTTGTTTACAACTTTGCCGTTCTCAGCAACCGTGACATTTACATAATAAACTTTGAAATCTCTTTCATGTTTATCATTTAAATTAATCAAAGTATTTATTATTTCTCTTTATTCTTTATTATTGATTTATTTTCTCTTGTGCGACAATAATGAAAATAAAAGTGATCACAAGTTACATTTTACACTTGTTGTTTTGTATGTTTTTATAACTGGATTTAAAATATTTTGTTCTGCTTAATGATATTTGAAGTTTATGTTTTGTTTAAATAATTTGTTTTAGCATGGCTTTTATGGCTGTGTTTACATTGAGGAAGACTTAATCCTTAAAAAATGTATGTAAGCATATCTAAAAATAAAAGAAGTTCATCTTATGTGAATGGTTTGTTCGCCCTGCCATGACACCTCCATTTCAAGTATTTTCAATCACGGATTGTTCAAAGGATTAGTTTTGTTTTCTTGCACAAATATTGCCAAACCCTCTAAAGGGCATGCATCCATTGGCTTCTGTGAAATTTGAGCCTGGCCATTGAGTATTTTGTACAGATTACATCTTCGGCCCGGGTTTGCTAGCTATCCTCTAGGTTATATTTTTAAAAATCTAATTGTTTTTTTTTCCTTTCATTTTTTTTAACTCTTACAAACAAATTTTTAAACTAGAATTATACATATAATAGCCTTGCTATTTATCTGCCTCAAGCATTAAATACTTTGAAAATATCTATGAAAATATTTTGTAACTATATTGTTTAAGATAACTGTTTTCGATGCAGTGCAAAAAAAAATTTAGATGTTAATTTTCTTTTTTGCTCATTCTACATTTTGTAGTGGGGCAATTTTAATATCAATAAATTTGCTGAGCAGTATCCCTCTGATATGAATCAAATTAAAATAATTTTAAATTATAGGGGTTCTGACAGTTGCAGCTTTTTTTTTTTTTTTTTTTTTTTTTTNTTTTTTTTTTTTGCAATTTCACCCCATTTTTAATCTTGAGTTCTGCTTATTTTCTATTTGATGTATAAAATGTCTTAAGCAGTGAAATTTTACGAGTCTAATTATTTTATTTTAAGGCTTATAGTGCTTATTTTGTTTTTTAAATATGATACTCTAGATGTAGCTATCAGCTAAGTATCTTTTCCTAGAGTGTTAAGACTTTTGGAAGAAACTGATCAAAAGTAATAAAAATGAAGGATCTGTTAACTTTTTACCCTACACTTTCTTCATCTGTCGGACATTTATTTTATTTCTAATTATTTCTTATCACTCTACCTGCAACAATAAGTACTTAAATTTAAATAAATAATAATAATAATGACCCAATTCAACCAATATAAAAGAAATGCAGAAATGTTGCCTTGCCCTTTTGATTGAGTGGTTAGAATTAAGCTTAAAGATGGTCAGAATGATGCAATCTAGTCAGTTGCCCTGTTCACAAAGCTCCCTGTGCCATTCCTGAAACTTTAGATATGTTCATTGTTTAACCTTTTATTTTGTTTGTTTTTATGTTCCCTATTAGATGTGCCTCATTTTTATTTATTTGTAGTTTATATTCTGAATTTTATCTAATATAAATTATTTTTAACAATTATAGCAAAATAAGTTGTATTGACTATATTTATTATTTGTTTTGGACAAATGAGTGAGATAGCACCTTACTTTGCCAAATATAAAAATTTAGTAGTCATAAGATTTCTATGTTTGTAGAAATAAAATAATTTCAAAATTTTATTTAAATGCATACTAGGTTTTATTGTAATGGCCATTTCATTCTTTTCGAAAACAAATTAACAGAAGGTATGTATGTAATTCTAATTTGGTTTATTTATTTATTAATTTTTTTTGTTGTTGAAAAAGCATGCTACCTTATGAAATATTTAAAAGTTTGTACTACATATTTTATTTGAAAAATTGAGGATTTTAGAATGTAAGAAAATGTCAGTCTGCTTCAAAATTGTTAAATATTATATTTATTCTAGAATTATAAATTTTTAGAATATGAATTTCTATGAATTTTTTTAGTATTATATTGAAAATATGAAACTTTTTTTTTTCCATTTGGTTTCACTAGTTTTTTAGTTAAAATTATGTGTGCAGCCACTAATTTAATCATTAAATAAAAGTAAAATTAGTTTATATATTTTTTTGTTAAATGATTATCGAAATTGTTTTACAGGTATAAATTTTAACATTAAGGTAGGATATGTTAGAAGTAATAAATGCTTAAATTTAGTTAATTATTACAAAAGTTTCTCATAAAAATGATAAGCACCGTTGGTCGAAAGAGAAGGGGGGGGAAGATAATGGTAACCCCCAATGTATAACAATTGAAAGAAAATATTTTTATTTATTTATGTAATTTTTTTTTTTTTGAGAATTGGATGGATGTAATTTTCTGCTAAAAATAAATATTTGGCATTTACTGTGTTTGAATACTCTCACAATTTGCCGAAAAGTATTTGTTGAAAAACGATGCCATATTTTTTGTTTGTATTCTTGTTTTGCCTTAGTTTGAGTATTTTACTAATTTAGTAATGCAAGTAGGTAATTTAACAATGGACTTAATGGAGCGTTAATGTATTTTTGTTTGTATAAATAATTATAATTTTATGCAGGGTGTGAATATTTTTATTTTGTGTGTTGTTAATGTTATTCTGTCTCTGGTTGGCTATAGGCACTTGGAACTCAGTGTATCTTAGCACAACAGCAATAGACACTTTCCTGGAAAATTTTTGTTGCCTTATCAGTTATTTGATGTTTGTGTAATCAAAGATGTCTATATAATTAGACCTTTTAAGTTTGAAGATGTGTATTAAAATGATCTCTCCATATTGTTATATAGGCACTATTGTGCAAGATTATGTAAATATATTTATAGAGCATTTTATTGGTAAATTCGAAATATGATATCTAAGCTATTTTGCACTCTGCTGGTGCAATTTTGAAATAAATATCATAGAATTATTAATTTAATATGAAACATTGATTGTTTTTCATGGGTGCTCGTCAGCTTTATCTCAACCTTGGATTGTCTATATTTTAACCAATGGCGGAATTACGCAACTTCATACCTCTTTTTTACAACGGATGCGTTTGCTATTTTATGTGAAAATTTTTCCCCCGTTCATCTCTCTTTATAGAGCCGTACATATTCTATGCAATGTATTGAACTAAATATTTAGAGAATTATTTTTAGTTAAGAGGTTGGAAATGTGTGTAAGAAATATTATTTTTGCACTGCAACATTTATAGCAACAAAAATTGTGCGTGGATTTTTCATGGTACAGCTTTGCCCATCCAAAATGTTGCTGTGTGCTTTTTTGCCTCTCTTGTAATTTCTTCTCCCGTAATTTCAGGAATATATAATCTCATGCTGAATTAATCTTAAAATTATTAATCATGTATTCTTGTACATATTTCTGCTCTCCTCTGGATAGAATATAAAAACCAAACGTAGCACAATTTTTAAAATATTAATTCAATTGACTTGTAGATTTTACTTTAAAACCAGTGCACTTTTCTGGCTCTCTATTTTTACATTTTTTTTTAATGCAATACCTTTCTATTAATTTCTAGAAAATTGACATTTGTATTTACTTATCAATAATTTATGCATAGTTGTGGTTTATATCTCAGTAATTCTTCACTTTTATCAAATTAAGATCTTCAGATAAAATATTGATTATTCAGCATGCTGTTTATTAAATTAATTACTTTTAGTCACTTTTTTATAAATAAGAGGTTTTATTCCCTCCTTCCTTTTTGAAAAGAGTTTTGCTTTGATAATAATTTATTGCAATTTTGGTTTTGCTAAAATCTTTCCTGTGTTATGTACATGACGAATATCCTACAAATATCATAAGTAAATCTTGTATTAATAGCTCTTATCTTATTTAAATGGTTTTATAACTAAAATAAATAACAGAAGATTTGAAATTGCTGTCAAAGTGTTGGACTGTTCTATTTAATTGAAGTTATATGTGATGGAATGATATATAAATTTAACCCCATTTATTTATTGTTTGCGTTGGAATGTTTTTGTTTTTCTGAACATTCATTTTTATCGTATATACTCACGAGGCATATAAGTTATAAATTTGTGTAAACTTGTAAAAAAATAAATAACACATCATTTGTGTTACATATTGTTGATTGTCCTTCAAAATCTTAGCACATGGACTGGTTGGCTAAATTCAACAGTTAAGAAATTCGCCTTGAGTGCCTTAAAGTGTGCTACTAAATTTATTATTTTCTGTCTTACACCATTCTGTTATAATATTCATCTTCTCATTATTTTGAAAGCCAAATGTATATAATTTTTACTTTAGAATCTTTCATTGATTTGCTCTAAAAGTTTGAAATAATTTAGTCAATCCAATTAACTATTTTTTTCTTCTTAAATACCTGTTTGTGAGAATGAGTTAAAAGAAAATGTGTGCATTTTTTCAGAATTGTATGAGTCTTTTTTATTTATTTTTATGTTGTGCACATATTTAGCTAGCTGTTTTGTATTAAGCCAGCCTGTCCATTTCGCCTTACATGTATACTAACAAGTTCAGCACATGTCATGTTCTCTCAATGTGTAATGAGAAAAGCCATTCAGTGTTTTATGTGTTCTTAAATGAAAGTGGCTCATACTGAAATATATGCAAAAAAGTTAAAAATACATATATGAATCAGCTTTTGTGGATATTATTCTTTCTCTTTATATAGAACTGAAAACTGCTCAAATTTTTTCTTTATTTTGATGTAGTTAAATGTATCATGATTTTAGATTTACTTGTTGAATAATGATTTGTTTTCTTCATTTTATATAGTTTAACTTTTTAAACACAAGTGCAATATCTGATTTTTGTTGCAAGCAATCGGCCTGTTTTGAATTGATTGAATGTTGACTAGATTTGAGGCTGATATTTAATTATTTTCTCCTTATTTATTAGCCATACATGATTATGTTTTAAACAAAATTGAACCAATGACTGATCTCATAAAATGTAATTGCACTTGTTATGTAACTGCAAGGCATAGTGGAAAATCATTTTCATTCTGTTTTGATGTGTTTGAAATATTTTTTTATGAGAGAGAAATTTATAATCAAACCTTGAAATCATTTTATTATATATTACTGAATTTGTTTTAGTTACTTCGATAGCTTCTATCGATTTGTCAGAATTGTACAGCTTTTTATTTTATTTTGTTTAAATTAGACTTTTGCACAATTGTATTTTTCACGCAGTATGTGTTATAATATGTATATATATATCAGAACTTAAAAGGTGAAAAAAATGTGATGACTTTAACCCTATTGTAGCACAATTGTTTGTTGTAATATAGTACTGTTTAAGGTTTCTATAACTTGTAAAAAAGAAAAAATCCTTGCCTTCTCTCTCTTTAAGAGACCAATTTGAACATGAAAAATCAATTAAATGTTTGTTTGCATATCATAGATTATCTTTAAAATATTCTCACACTACTTGAAACCTACTTTCAGCCATTGCTTAGTAGTCCTGCAATTTTTGATAAAACAATCAAAACTACTATATATTGAATTTAAAACAATAGGCAGCCTTTTGAACGTGAAAAAACAAACAAGCATTCTCTTTAGAAAAATATTATTAGAAGATTAAATATGCATTTTTATATAAATTTAGTATCTTTCTTAAAAATTTAGATATTCTCTCCCTTCATGTTCTCAAATATTTATGAAGTATTTAGGCTAACTTATTTTCCAAGGTTGGAGTTTTTAAAAAAAATAACATCTTAGTATACTTTTGTATATTTACCTTGTTAAAGGAGAAAGAAAATCTAAGCTAAATCAAATAAATACTAAAGGTATTCGTGATATTTGTTATTGTTGTTTGTATTTTTGTTCTAAAATTGCAGTCAACTCCTGATTTTCCAGAATAGTTAATAGAGAACTAACATAGCAATTTAATTATATTGAGAAATTAAAGGTAGCAACATATAATACAATAGCAAATGAGACTTAGGTTTTTTTTTTTAATATTTTCTCTTAATGAATTTATCTAAATCCTGTATATTTCCAAATGTAGGCAGTGATTTTTCATAAACTTTTCGTAAGCCAAAATGAAGCTATTAGAATGTGATCTCTTGATTTCGCATAATGCTATGGAACATCGCCATCCAAAACACTATTCCATTGACCAAGCATTAGCAATAGATCACTGAGTATCACAAAATTTCACATACATAAAATGAGGTGAAAGTGTCTAAAAATAACTAAAAAAGAAACATATAAATGTGTTGAAAGGAATTTTTTTTTGATTTGATAAAATGTTCTTTTATTGTTCGTTTTTTCATAAAACAGCAAACGATTTGAACAGAAAAAAAATTAAATGTGCTAGCTTCAGAATTCAGATAGCTCTCACTATCAGTAACTGATATGCTGTATCTTTTTATCAAGTTGTACTGCTGATAACGTCAATATAGGATAGTTAGTTGAAAGACTTGAGAACAGGAAAACAAAAGAAGGTATCGGTTGGAATTTCAATAGATTTTTATTTCTGAACAAGGACAAATAAGTAAGCTAAGATGTCTGTGTCTTTAAAAAATGAATTCGAAAGTTAGCATGTTCTGTCTTTTTTAAGTCTGCTTATACACAAGTTTTTAATTTTGGGTAAATTTTCAAAGAAAAAACATACTCAGCTTATACATAGATAATGTTAATGTCTTAATAATGTTTCAGCAACTTAACTCGAGGTTCATGGTTGTCCTGATATACCAGATTAAAAATTTGTCTTTATTTTTGTGTGTTCAGAGCATTTTGGAGCAAACACATATTTTTAAAAAATAGATTTGAACAATCAGAAAAATTTTGATTTTTAATCCAATATCTTTTTATTTTAGTTAATAATGCGTGTAATAATAGCAAAATTCGAGTGTTCCAATTTGGGGACTGTCAACTAATTATATCTATAGTTCAAGCATATAGTCTTAGCACATTGTTTCAACCTTTGTTCAGTCTTTTATATTAAAAAAAAAAAGTTTATCAATAATTTTACATCATAAAATTTTTATGGTGATGAATTCAGGGATCGTATACTTATTTTTTTATTCTAAGCAAATGCATTAACACTTCTGTAGTGTAGATTTATATTGTTTTGCAATTATTGATTTCACTTTTAAAATTGATCAATTTCAATCAACATTCTTACTTCATATATTTAAATATTTACTGAAGGTATCTTCTACTAAAATAAGTTTTGTACAAAAATATTAAGTTAGTTATATCTTTTTCTTTAGAGATTTTTGTTGAAACCATACTTTGAAATTATTTTATTAAGGAAATATGAAGCTCTATTATATATTTATGTGAGGGAACATTAACTAATTGATACTGATTTTCTTTTTAATGAGACAATACTATAAAAATTTTCCATTAATTGACTAGAAAGTATAATGAGTTTTTTAAGTGTTGATTCAATTATACTGGAAATAATTAAAACTTTCTGTTCTAAACTAAGTAATTCTGAAATTAAAAATAACATATTTTATTATTCTTTTTAATAAAATTTTCTTTTCTTACGCTTAAGTAGAGCAAATTATATATCTTTTTAGTTTACCTTTTTTAAAAGTAATCTGGAATATGTATAATATTCTAAAAAATGTTCCAATTTTTTTTTCTTTTGTGCGCTACAAAGCCAGCATAACTGTTGTATTATGAAGGTTTCTGCTATTTCTTTTTCAATTTATATGCATTCTGCATATTTTAAAATTATTTAATCTTGTTTTAATATTTTAAACTTTAAGATAAGATATGTCTCATTGGTTCTCAAACAATCCGGAGTTGACTGTATTCAATGAATTTGTGAAAGTAGTGTTATCATTATAGTAACGAAAAGTTTTTGCTCAATTAACTACAAAGGCATGGTGTGTTTTGAACTACTCTGCTGTTAAAAAGTTTTGCCTAGACCTATTTTATTTAAAGTATCATTTGATCGTAAATTAATTTACAATGTTTTTTTCACATTTTTTTAAAAATAATTACACACTTTGCCCTTGTAGAGTCTATTTTTTGGAAAAGTTAAAGATGTTGTTTATCCTGTAGATGGTTAAGAATATTCTTTATTTTAACAAATCTGTTGCAATCTTGAGCAGTTATTTCTGAAATTAATATTTATTTGTATCATAAATGCAATGTAAGCTTTGTTTATTTAAATTAATAAAGTGACCTTTACCTTTTACATAAAAAAAGTTATCATTTTTATATGCCAAAGTAGATTAACATCATTGTTTGCAATTTTTTCTTTCCAAGTATTTTTTTTAAAAAATTTATCTTAAAGCAGTTATATTACTAACGTGTAAAGTTCTTTTACTAAATAATTGGAAATTTCTGTATGAAATTAAAAGCTTCTAATAAAAAAAAATATTCATTCACTTGTGTATCAGTTATTTTTTAGAAAAATATTTTGGTAAAAAATTGTTGGTTTTCGATTGAACTTTTCTACTTAATATGTATATATATATAAATAATGTTGATACATTCGTATGATAGGTTTTTTTTACATTATTTTTATTCTGTTAATCTGCAAGCTTACTTTGAAATACTATTAGTTAAGTTAATATAGGTACATGAGGGTCGTTAGCAAGGGGACGGTGGGTGTACTTCTCCTCAGTAATTAGAAATCTCTAAAAATCCCCTCAATATTTCTGACTAATGAAGAAAATTTTTTATGAATCATCATGGATTTAAAGTTATGAAAGTTAAAAACGAGAAAGAGATAAAAATTTTTTTTTGTAAATATTTAGTTAAAAGATTTCTTTCTTAAAGTTTGAAATTAAAAGGGCTATTGCGAGTGGATTTTAATTTCTTCCCCCTCATGAATCGGAAGCCCGTAATGTCTATGGTTGAAAACAGATCCTTATTCTTCAAATGTAGGTTTGTGTAGCCAGAACTTCATTTTAAGTGTTGGTTTGAATCTGTGTGCTTCAAAGAATATCAATGAACGGTATTGAGATCAAACTTCATCCCCTCAGTGGACTGATTGTAAGACACTATTTTCAGTAGATCGCCAAAGTCAAGCATCATTGGTAACAGTCGGTGACCACTTTGATCTGCCTGCTAAGGTACCGAGGGTGCACGGTATCGGTCCTCGTTAAACTGTTCTAAAGTAAAGTGCGAGACTTCCCTCTGCAGAGGATCAAAATTGTGATGGCATATTTTCGGATCATCTTCAGTGATGTTTCTCAGACTTTCGTCAATAGCCTATTTTGCAGATATAATTCGACAAAACGAACTACAACCACTTCCCCTTAAAAGCCATCAACATTTTTGATAATATTTTTCCGGTTAAACAATTTTCATTTACTGATTCTGATTCAGCACCGCGTACGTGATACATATATATATAACAAACTTAGAATGTGTTATGATCGTTTTCATATTCCATCAGAAAATTAACTGAATGTCGTTATTAGTTAATTTCATTTTATTTAAGGCAGTTGTTAAGTGATTACGAATATATTCTATTGAAAAATCATTTTTAAATTGTTCATCTCAATTGAAAAGTATTTTTAACAAAAATTTGGAAAGAAATCTTTATTGTTTTAGAAGTTTTTTTTTTTAAATTTTATAAATTTAATGTACGATATTTCACATCAAACTTCTTTTTCCTGAAGCTTTTTGAAGATTGCAATTGTTTGAAACTGAGAAAAAAAAAAGCATGGCGGTTCTTGAATATTTGACTACTGAAGAAGTTATTGACTATTAAGGCGGTATATGCACTATCGTTTGTATCCAAATAAGCAATATCTATTTTCAAGGATTCAGGTGTGATATTCTGTGTATTGTCAACACCTGCTGTGTTACCTTAAGTGTGTCAGTGAAGAGAATTGTTCATATCAAAAGGCTTTGAAGAAAAAAATTCACAATTAGTGTTTTTTAATATTTTTTTAAGGTAAGTAACATTATAAAACCTAATTTTTTACTGTTTAAATAATTCTACTAAACTTCTGTGACTGGATGACAATTTTAATTTACAAATTATAATCAATGCAATTACTCTGAAATTATTTTATAAAAAGAATAAACTATTCTTTGCTCAAATTAATAAATCTCTTTTTACTTATTATTACTCAAATAATAATTAAAAAGAGAACTTATTTATTTTTAAAAAAGTTATAAAATATTTACTAAATGTATTTAAAGTTTGACAGGTAATATTTTTGTCAACCATACCAAATGTGTACACAAAATTTACTCCAGAAGGGATAACTTTTAAAAATATTCTTTAAAACTATTCAAAATTGTTTATTTATTATTATTTTTTTTTTGGAAAATTTTTTTTCTGTGTGTGCGCATTAAAAATGTTTTCAAATAATTTCAACTTATTGTTACTAAAACGAAAGTTTATGATACGAAATTTAAAGTCGGTGAGCTTTTTTTTGTTTTCTGGCATGTTTAAAAAAATGGACATAGCATTTGATTGCATTTTTCAAACTTTTTTTTGTTATGGGTGTTGTTTTTTCTGCTAATAATAAACTAATGAATCCAAATAAATTAGTAATATGATGCCTATTTGCATAAAGCACTAGCCACTAAGTCGCATTTTATTAAACTAGTTTTTTTTTTTAATTAAAAAAAAACGACTTTAAAAGTTGTTTTTACAGGGCTGGTCCTATAAATTTTATCTGCACATACAATTCAAAAGTATCTGGAAAGCTCAAAGTTGTTCTTAAATGTCATTTAACTACTAAACATTTCAATAAATGTCCTGAAATTTTTGTGATACTTCCAAATTTTTGTAGAAGTTAACAGGAAGAAAAAAATATTTATCGAAAAGAGAATTGAAGAAATTTTAAATTCAAAAATTATGTTACATGCCATGAAACAAAGTAAATAAAATCTTTATAGAGCCGTCAAATACGATATTTATCTAGCAATATTAGAGACAATTACCCTTGATTTGATGGCATAAAAGTATTCGGTGTGGGAGAAATATATAAAAAGTTTTTATCTCTACTCATCACTATATCATACTCTATTGTTTTTCAATAGAGAATCCTTGTAATTTGCTACTGAGCGTTTTTCCATATTTAGAATATTTTCCCTTTTTTTTTGTATAAAAAAAGTTCCATAACTTATTTAAAAAAAAAAGTTTATTTATTTTTTTTTTGAAATTTTTATTTTTTTACTTGAGTGGAGGAACTACTTAAAACTATTACCAATTGTATATCTACGAATCCATGTTGGTATTACAAATTGCTCTCATTAGAAAATCCGCATCCTCAGATTGTCCTTAATTTTAGATGCAATTTTGCCTGTAATTTTTATATTTTGGACTTTCAGCCTTGTATCTTTATAAGAAATATACATAGGAGAGAGTGAGGTGAGACAGAGTACCTCAATTCCGTCGAAATTAGTTGTTTTCTACTGGGCAAAGTATGAATTACATTTTAAGATGACTATATCAGATTAGCATGTTGTTATTGATTAATTCACGGTGTCCAACAACTCTCTTATGTTCTTCTGTTTTTAACATTTATTTGTTCAGTTTATTAAACTTTTATTGAAGATTCATACAAACAATACGGATTGGCTACCAGGGCCACCTCTAAAGGAGGCCCTTCCTTGACACGTGTCTAATATGCTGAGCCCACGAAAATTGCAGTGCAGTGGAGGAAGAATATAATTGCATCATATGCAAACTACTTGCATATTTTTCTTAAATTGTTATATTAATTAGAAATATTTGCTACTTTTTGCTGAAATTCTAGTATTTTAATTGAATTGACAAGTGTAACCAGTCTTAATGGGCGATTTGACTTAATCTTGAAAAAAAAAAATATTCTTAAAAAAAGTAGCACATCTGACTTTTCAGGAATATATCAAGATATTTATTGTACACAATAAATATCTTGATTAAATCTGACAATTTTTAAGTCGAACTGTTGAGCTCGAAAATAGGCTAGTTATCACCAAAAAAAAAATCGTGGATGATAGGATAACAAGCTAAAATCAGGACAATATATTTTTAACAATAATATTAGGACAACTACGAATCCTGATATACGAATCATAATATTAAATTTTTAAATCGGCGGAATATGAATAGCGATGTATGGTTTTTAAATCGCGCGAATACAAATCAATCCGTTTGATTTTTAAATCACGTGAATTTGAATCGTGATATTTAAATCATGTGAATACGAATTGCGATGTATAACTTTTAAATCAAGTAAATACGAAAATCAATGTTTATATTAAAATTGCGATTTTTTATTTTATATATTAAAACGCGTAAATAAAAATTGCGATATCTTAATTTAAAACAAAAANATATATTAAAACGCGTAAATAAAAATTGCGATATCTTAATTTAAAAAAAAAAAAAAAAAAAAAAAATCGCGTAAGAACTAATTGCTAAGTGTAGGTTTGACTAGGGATGTAACAAATAAAGTTGTGAAGTTAAAAAAAAAAAAAATATCCTCTTAATTCTTAAAACAAAACTTTAATGCTAACATTAATATTTTTCGGAAAAAAAAAATATCTATAAAACATTATAACAACATCTATCAAAAACGCTTTCAAAAATACAGTGTTGTCATAAAAACTGAAGCTTATGCACAAAAGTTAAACAAAAAAAAATAAAAATTCTCTTAATTTTTGAAAGAAAAATTTAAAGCTTAACACTTTTTCGCATATACAGTTTTTTAAGTAGCGCATTTTCAAAATAAAGTAATAAAAACTACTAAAAAAACATTAAAGTTTTCGAAAAAGCTACATAGAAACCGAAACAATAATCGTTCTTAATTTTTAAACGAAAGATTTAACGCTAAATATCTTAAATTAACTTTTCCACATTGCAGTAGTTTTAGGAAAAAGAATAACTTTCATTAGAAACGCTCTTTAAAAAATGCTGCTGTAATAAAAATTAATTAAAAAAATATCAAAAGACAAATAGAAAAAAAAAATTGTTCTTAGTTATGAAATATAATTTTAACCTTGAGAATCAGTTTACTAGTTAGTTATCAGTTTTACCTTACAAGTTACAATGAAGCCTATTAAAACCGCGCTCTGTTAACATACTTCGCTTTAGTTAGAACAAAAAAAAACAAAATAGTTCTCCATTTTTAAAACATAGAAGTGTTGAAAAATAGAAATTGACATTTTAGATTATTCTTTATTTGGAAGCTCTGATTTTGATTTCGACAGAGATGGACAGTGCTGATTAAAATGCATTACAAATGGGGTTTAATAAAGCTTCTCTGTATCCAAGGGAATCGTTTACCCTTCAGAATAAAATTGCATGTCTGAAGATCTTCAGAAGTTGACGCCGTGTTTATAGACTGCATTGCACACAGAGTCTGACTAAGGCAGGGGCCCCAACTCAAATAGTAAGTTTATTTTCGTTTCCTTCTTTAATGAACTTTTTTTAAACAAAATATCAGTACAGTGTTATGTTAGTTTTGTCATTAATCTATCGTATGAACACCAACAATTTATAATTCGTAAACCCATGGCTTTCTAGGACGGAATTCAGCTAAATTTGTGCAATACGTTGGAAAAATTTGGTCAATCAAAAGCCTGTATTTTTACATATCGCAAAATGCGATATGTTTACAAAAATACGGGCTTCTGATTGGCTTAATTGAGCTATCGTAATTGCGAAAATTTAGCTGAATTCAGCCCTAATGTCAGCAAGGATATGAAATTTTTTGCAGCTAGATGACAAAATCAACAATCAGTTATCCAATTGTTGACCGTTTTATGCATCTTTAATTCAGTTAATGGAAATCTAATAACAGTTAGATACTGTTTAAATTTATCATGAATAGAATCTGTGTACCTCCATCGTCACATATCATCAGCATTGGCACGACAGCCCTTTGTGAGCCTGGGCCTTCCTCAGAAGCTTTTCCCATTCTGCCCTTCTCCCAGCAATTGTTTTCCAGTTCTTTACTTTTAGGATGGCAAAATCCTCATCCACACAGTCCTTCCAGCTCTTTTTGGGCCTTCCTCTTGGCCTTTTATTGGAGGGGGTTGCATTAGAGACTCTCAATGCTGTTCGTTCTGGGCTCATTCTCACTACATGCCCGGCCCATCTCATTCTACTTAATTTAATAGATTTAATGATATCATCGCCATCAAAGATTCTATATATTTCAAAATTATATCTTCTCCTCCAGTTGTCGTTATCGAGTATAGGGCCAAATATGGTTCGTAGGACCTTCACCATCGTCACATAAATACGACGAAATACGAATCAAAAATAGCGTCTGCAATACCGGACTAGCGGTGAAATTTTTTTCTTAAATCCCTTTTTATGACTGCTCACATACCTTCGATCTTATTGACCAGATTCAAAAGTAAACTAACCAGCCGGTATCCAACGTAGAACTGACGGATCTCTGAAATTACATATACCGTTGAACATTTAAAAATAACGCTAAAATCTATACCATCAGAATCACGATTGGGTTTCAACATCGCCCAGCTTGGCGATCGACCGCGATCACAACTTGGCGAGAATCAAGGGGCACCCTCAAATATAGTTTACCCAAGAAACGGCTGTGGAACGTCAAAGAAGGATGGAACATGACCGAATTTCGACAAGCAATTCTAGAGCCCAAGAAGATTAGAAGAGGATCGTGTCTCAACTAGCATAGCTAGGGCTCGAGAAACACCTGAGGAACGTCAAAGAAGATTTGAAGAGGATCGTGTCTCCACTAGCAGTGCTAGAACCCGAGAAACACCTGAGGAACGTCAAAGAAGATTAGAAGAGGTTCGTGTCTCAATTAGCAGTGCTAGGGCCCAAGGATATGAAGACAAACTTGCAGGACAGGAACACTTTAATTGTCCACTAATCTAGATTTCCTGCTATGTTTTAAAAAACCTTATTTGTGAAAACCTTTAGCGTGGAGGACAGCTGGACGCCTTAGGCGGCTAGTAAATAATAAATTATTTATATGAAAATGTAAAACAATGTTATTTTAAGACTTCACATTTTCTAATCATAACATTTTTGTCTAATTTCACTGATTAACTAGCATATTTAAGGTTAAGCCATGGAACCATAAGCGAAGGTTTTTTTTTTTAATGGAAGGAGTGTACAATATAAATATGGCAATTAATGTTTTTTTTCTCTTATCAGATGTTTTTTTTTTTTTTTAATGAACAACAAATTAACAGAAATAGGGAATTTAATTGTTATATTTTTATTTTTTGTCATAATCAGTTGTAATTATTTGTATTGAGCTCTTTAATTAATTTATAATATTGCGAGAATATTATTTTACGTGATCAGCACGCGTTGTCAGAAGCTTTTTTAATTTTGCTGTTATGTTAGCAAAAAAAAAGTTATTATCTTTTCAAATAACAGCTTCCTTTAGTTTAATTTCTAATAATGAGTGATATTTATTTCTAAATTGTGTTGTTATCCTTTTCAGAGCAACATTTTTCTAACTATATCATGTTTGAAAACTTTAAAACTGAACAGCTAACTAATTTACTGAAACTGCGTTTCATTAAATTAGTTAAGTTGTCTTTACTTTTGTTTCATCTCATTTAACTGCGAATAACATAAGTATTTTGTAATTACTTTGTATTTCTAATCTACTCATAAATGCAAGATTATTAAAATTATAATTGTTATGGTTTTTGTGCAAATTTTTGATTATGCAGATTCAAGATTTGTCACAGGCATTGTTTCCCCTAGATAAGCTTCTGCCAATAACTATATTTTTCAAAAGTATGAAGAACTTGTATGACTGACAAAAAAGTGTTATTTTAAATTTAGTATTTGGTGTACTGGTTTCAAACATGAAGATTGAGTTTATTGAAGCTTTGATAATTCAGATCTGATTTAAGGAAGCTATTTTTGCAAGATTACCTGCTCTACATTGTTCTAAAAAGAAATTATAGTAGTGAATAGTTTATTTATAAATTAAAATTCTATAAGTGTGCATCAATATAAAAACTACAAACACAACATTTTGGTAACCAACAAAGTCATTATACACTATATACATATCAGTAATTAGTAACATACAGGTAGTATAAATACTAGTCATTAAGGCACTGCAAAGCATTAAAAAGTACAGGCATCTGAGGTAAACATCTGAAATAGAAAGAAAATCATATTAGCAGGTATAAAATTAGGTTAAAAAAACAACAACATATAAGTGGTGGCTATTCAAATTCAGGAGTGCACAGCTTAATAACTTTTGTTTCAATGAGAAGATTCTTTGGTTTACTGTGTTAAGCCTCCTACACATACTATATACACGCTTAAAGTATGATTTTTCAGAGAAATGTGGTTTAACTGATCTGGACTTTAGTTTTGCTCAAATATATTCATATCTAGCGTCATATTGACATATTTTAATTGTAGACTCTGTCTTTACTTTTTGCGTATTTCGCAATATCTCAAGAACTGTTTAAGCGAATTGAAATTTATTTTTGCATACGGTTATAATCCGTTTATACAAAGATAATTCCAAGGTAAGTTATGCAACTTTTTATACCATTTTAAAGAATGCAATTTTTAATTGCAAAATGCTAAATTTGAGCAAAATCGGTCTAATAGTTTCTGAGAAATTGTATTTATAAATATACAACTTTTTTAAAATTTGATTTCTTAGTAACTATTCCACCAATTTTGCTCACATTTTGTATTTGGCCGTATAAAAAGTGCCTTCTTTAAAATTATGTAAAAAGTTGAACGGATATCACATTTGATGAAAATTGTGAAGCTTTTTATATGGTGTGTTGTTGACTGAATAAAAATGTCTGCAAAAACTAAAGAAGTGCAAATGATACCATAGCTGGTAAAACGGAATCATAACCAGTAAAAACCTTTGCATAAGGTCTTTGGAATTCCACACTAGTCTTCTTCACACTAGTTAACAGCAATTTGTTACAAATATTAAAATTTTTTTGTTTGCTTGTCTAGTGTTCCCAATCAATTGTCTCATGGGAAATGATCTACTATAGTAAATTGCAGATTGTAAAGTTGTTTGTGGAGATTCTTTCCTTATTACACAAACAGACTCAAGCTCTAAAAACATCTAGGTTAGCAATGATCTTTTCAGTGAGGGTAACCCCATTAAAAAAAATAACCAATAATTGTTAGGTTTTTTAAAACATTTTTGAGTTAGACACATTAAATGTTGGAGAATTCTGAAACTTTATAGGATAGAAATCTGTTCAATAAAAAAAATTGCATCTACATTTATTTTTTCATTAAAAGATAGAATGCCAAAGAAATCTTCCAGCATATAATTATGAATACTAAAGGAAACAAGTAATTGTAATAAAAATGAACTAACTTGCTACACTTTTTCGACATAATTTCCTGGAAATATTCCAAATATTCCTGTGCGTACGGATGTCCCCACATACCATCCGTCATCACACATTTCAACTACATAAACAGTGTCACCTTCTGCAAGTTCCAGCTCATCTGTGTTTTGCGGTGAGTAACTATAGATGGCTCTATACCTATAAGGTGGAATATTCTTATTTCTAATTCATAAATTATATACAGTAGACACTCAGTATAATGACTCAAGGTCGTTATATTATGAGTACACAAAACTACTGAAGAAAGTTATTTAAAATAATTCAGGACTTAACATGCAATACCAAAAAAAAACAACTATGAAACGGATAAAATAATTGACAAAAATATTATTTCAATGCCCACCCAATTACACACCATATTAGGTGGGCAAACCTTGATTTAGTACGGAGAATGAAAGAACATTCATGCCTTGACTGGGATTTGAACCCAGGACTTTTCTGAGAAGAGGTCAGCTCCCTGACCATGACACAGTCCGGCAAAACTTACGAAGTACAGGCTTTAATAGATACTGGCAGTTCTTGTTATTTTCTTAAGATGTCAGTTGCTCAGAAGCTTCAACCTGCTGTCAATGAATTATATGGTTTTGGAAATCAAAAGGGACCTTCAATGACCACTATCAGAAAAATTGAAGTCAATAGTGTAAAAAACAATGAGTAAAAGGAGTAAGTGTTCTGATCTTCTTATGGGATGAACTAGCTTGATCAACCATACATTACTTTTGCCAGAATTGGGAAAAGATTTCATATCGAATATCAGAAGGAAGAACCCTTTAAGAATTTATTAATTGAAGAAAAAGTAGATTGAATCTGCCTTAAAGTTCTTGAAGCAATTGAATTCAATCAAGCAGAGGATATTGAAAATGGGCTAATTGGTTGGTTACTGCAAGAAAAAAATGGAAAAACATTCATTCCTTTGGCAAATATCGGACCCAAAAATTTCAGACTTTAAAGAGGTATAATGTGTTGGAAGAGCGGAAGTGGTTGAATTGTGCTCAGTTGTAGAAGTTAAAGAAAAGATCTCAAGTTCATTTAGCTGTAATAATTTTAAAGAAAAAGCTCTCATTAAATTGTGCGACATGAAGATTGACTTAAATACTGGAGCTGAACAGAAGCAAGAATTGTTTCAACTATTGAATGAGTATAGATATTGTTTCGCAATGAACATTTCAGAGCTAAGTTGCACTAACTTAATGGAAATGGATATTAGAGAAGTTGAAAGGTCAAAGCTCATTAGTATGAAATCATAAAAAAAAAGAATGCTCCTGATGCAACAGCTATTAAAGAAATTGTGTCCAAAACAAGATCATCTTATGCAAGTCCTGTCATACTAGTGAAGAAGAAAACTAATGAGAACAGACATCTAAACAGTCAAACTATAAAAGATAAGTTTCCATTATCTACAATTGATGATTCATCGGCGCAATTACATGACTGCAGTTATTTTACAACTTAAGACTTGGTCCACAATTATCTACAAACACCCCTAACTGAAAAAGCAAAGCTAAAAACAGCCTTTATAAGCCCAGATGAAACTGGAAAGTTCAAGAGGATGATTTATGTAACGTGCATTAGGTCCATTGTACAGTTCACAAAATAAATAAAAAAACCGACCACTCAGAATAACTTTTGATCTAAAATTATTGGATTTCCAGGTTTTAAGACTCAATCTTAAAAGTTTGAGGGGGTGACCTCAAATATGCTAATTAACTAGTAGAGACGCTATTTAAGTTACAAAATCAGATAAAAAAAAAAACGTATTTTTTTCTGAATAAACATGCCTTGAACAAAGAATTTGGTTTTCTGACCCCCAAAATATAGGGGGTAGCCGCAATCTGTAAAATATAGTTCTCATAGCTTGGACCCCTTAATGTTAATTTTCTTTCTCGTGTATTTCGCTATATCTCAAGAACTATTCAAGCGAATTAAAAAAATTTTGCATCAATTTAAAGAACGTAATTTTCTATCTGAAAATACAAAATTTGAGCAAAATGGGTAGTTCATGAGAAATTTAATTTCTAAAATAAGGTTTCTTTAAAATTCGATTTCTCAGAAACTATTCAATCGATTTTGCTCAAATTTTGTATTTTGCCATGTAAAATTACATTCTTTAAAATGAGGTAAAAAAATTTATACCATATAATTCACAATTGTTTCGACCATTATTAAATAAAATAATGATAAATATTTATTTAAAGTTATATTTTTCATGGTGGATAAACGAGTTTTATAGTTACGTGCAAGCACTTTTCAATTCACTTAAAAAGATCTTAAGGTGGGACAAAATAGGCAAAGAATAAATTTATCATTAAGTGGTCCAAACTTTGGACCACTCTCCGGCCCAAACTATGGAGACCATTCTCCCAGATTGCGGCAACCCCATATCAATCAGAATTGTGAATCCATCGTAAAAAAAGTGTGTCAATTCAGAGAAAGTATGTTTTTATGTCTGATTTTGTAACCCAAAAAAAGGAACCTACCATTCTGAGAACTTTTTTCAACAATTGACACAGGTCGATATGCTCAACAAACTTGATATAAAAGAAAGGTAAAATATTATTCCTAAGGAAAACAAATTGTAATAAAACTGTTCTATTCAAAAATAAAGTTTTGAGCAAGCACAATCTGTATCTACTTTATGTTTTGTACATTTAAGAGGCACTATTTGCTAACAAAATTATTTAGTTACTTACATAACAGGTTCAATCAGATTGCTGCTTTTCTTCCCTCTACTTTGCATGTTGCTTCTTCCATTAGTTACCTATGAAATTTTTATAAAATTTCATTTGCTTATTTTTTTTTAAATATTGCATAAGAAATGTTTTGACACAAACTATAGTAAATTAGGTTCATATAAAGATTAGCCAGTACCTTTTATATCATATATAGCTAGTTTTTTAATATAGTTCATTTAATTATATCAGTTTTTATTAAAATGTATTTTAATATTTCCTTTTTAAAAATGAAAAGTTTAGATTTAAGATACTAAAAAAAAATAATTTATAAATTTTTTTTATGAATTTAAATTGAAATTCATAAATTATTTTATGTTTTACACATGAAATCCAAATTGGTAAAATCTTAAGCAACAAAATATCTTTATAGTTTCACAACAAAAAGATTAAGAGAGAAACTTACAACAGCAGAAGTTGAATGGATGGGAGAAATTTGTGATGAAGATGGAGTGACTGTTTTTAAGATTCCTTCTCTTGAAGTAGGTCTGCTTCTGAAACAATGGAATGAATACAAATTTAAACTACTTTTCTAGAAATACAATAGGTACACTTCAAAGAAATCTTTCTCAAAATGGAGTCTGGCCTTCTAAGTACAAGGAGAATGCACTTGGAATGTCCTCCAATCTGAGCATATGAAAGATCGAAAGAATTATATAACAAAAAAAGATAAGAAAAGAAAAGTATTTGTAGCAAAATTGCAGAATTGTTTACTGCTCAGATTCAATTTCAACTAATTAAAACATAGTGTAAAGTGCAAAAAAAAAGAGAACACCTTAATAATTTTTTATCTTGATAAGAACAGCGTCTACCCTTATTAATTAGCTTTTTTAAGGCTAGACTCCCAAACCTTTAAGATTAACACTAGAAAGACAGGGCTTGTGTGTTTGCTTTTCAGAATTAAAGGTTCAGTAATTCACAAAGAAAAAAAATTAAAAGCAGTTTAATTTTTGAACTTTTCATAAATATAACTATACAAGTTGTTATCTCATAGGAGCATAAATATTGAAACTTATACCTATGATGACAGCCTCTAAGGAATTTTGAAATATTATGGAAAAATTAATTTGTTTCACGGATTTACTGTGACACATTTTTCTAGTATTAAAATATAGTTTTAGATACTACATTAATTTTATAGAAAGAAGAAAGCGGGAAGAAGGAGCTTGATTGCAGATTGTTCGTGTTTTTTGAATTTATCCTGCAACTATGTTCTGCGCTCGGTATGTTTCATTAAGAAAAATCAGCTAAACAATGAAACCAACTGATGCAGGTGTGAGAACACTCTTAAAAAGAAAATTTATTGTTAGGGAAAGAATTCATACATGGAATACATGTCCAGATTGAAAAAAAAATGGTTTACAGTAAATGTGGTTATTGAATGATACAGAAATTGTATAAAAAGATTAATTACATTGCATCACTGTCATAAATTTCAAGTTTCATCAATTGAAAAAGAGTGTTTTATTTTATTTTATTTTGTTTAAAATTATTTTCTGCATAAACTGGAAACTCAATTATCCAAACAATGAAAATATAGGAACAGGAATACCAAACAATTAACACATTTGATGAAAAGGATATAATGTTTTGTTTAATCAGACCACATAAGTTGTTAACCAAATAAAAAAGATAAAAAATTTTATTCATGGAGTCTTTACTATATCTTTACTAAATGATAGTGTAGCATGTTTATTTGAGTTTAGACACATAACTGGTCTAAACTAAAAATGCCTCTTTAGACTGTCTATGAAAATGGCGATTTTTGATCATTCAAGTGTTATGTTTTATTATGTGAAAACTTGATCATTAGATAAAAAGTTATTAAGATGCTCGCCTTTTTGTGTGCACTGTATGACCTTTATTAATCATTGTTTTAAAAGGTGGCAAAATGTTAAATAGTGTCAGCACATGAGTTTTTATGAGGAGAAAAATACTAGATATTAAACACTAAAGAATTAAAATAATATTTAAAACCACACATTAAATCTTTGCAACTCTTTTAAGTTTAACCTGTTACATTGATTTAATAAATATTTAAAAACAGAAATAAATCAATATATTAGAAAGTAGAAAAAATTTTATGGTCTAAAAATGATTAGAAATTATACTTATAAGTGCATTCTATGTTGTAAAGAGAGAATTCTCTAACATCAACAAAATTAGAATTTATGTGATCATTTTTTTTAATCATTATTCTCATTATAAGCTTTTATTATTTTACATATGTTTAATTCAAATCATATAATTTAGTAGGCAAAGGTAATGGATTCTATAAGAAAATCAAGAACATTTAGTGAAATTTGTAAATGTAGTTTCAATTTGAGAATTACAAAATTATTCCCGATATATTTTTTTCACCCATATATTTCCTTTTTATTGAAAATTTTATTAGCAGCATAAAACATCGACATTATTGTGACTTTAGCGGCAAATTTAAAACATTTTCAAAATCATGTCAATCCTGCTTATGATAAGGAATGAATATTAGTTTAATAAAATAGATAAATTAAATTTGGCACTAGAAAAAAAAAAACATTTACAAAAAAATAACGAAAGAGATAAAGAATATTATGTTCCACAAAATTTTCTAATTAATAGCATCATATGCTAATAGTTTTATTTCATAAGCATAATAAAACTAAGCTGGAGAATTCGGGTTGTTATTTGACTATGGTGCATGCCCTAGTTGTACAATTCAACCATTTTCAATATTAAGATAGTACAATTCAAGTATTGTCAATATTAAGATTATTAATCTTAATTTAAAAAAAAAAGCACTGGATATTAGACACAATGAAGAATCTAAAAATAACGACAAAAGTGATCACTAAAATCAGAATAAAGATTGAAAAAGTAGTCAGAAAACTTACCCTGATGAACTAATTAGCGAATTGGGAGAAGACAAAGGTGTTCCTAAAAAACAATAAGGATAATTAATTTTAAAAATCAAATAACAGTATGAACCATAAAAAAATTGAGACATAATTTCAGTGAGATAGAAATAATAAAATTAAATTCTGTTTCTTTTTATGACTTTGTACATCATAAATCTAATAATGCAAGATTGGATCCGAAATTATATTTTAACGTTGACAGTGTTAGAAGAAAAAAACTGTCAAGTCACTTTTCTCGAAATCTATCGTGAAGCACTTACATTGATTTTTCAGCAGTATAGGCTTTGTATAATTAGTTTTAAAATACAACTTTTAGGCATGTTACAGGGTTGCCACAGCAAAAAAGGAACAAAAATAGTTGCTTTTAGTAACCTCAAGAAGGAAAATAGTTGCCTAAAACTACTAAAATAGTTGCTTGAACAGGGTCAAAAATTTAACAAAAATAGTAGCCAAATAACTAAAATTATAGCTTTTTTGTCATATACTATGATTAGGATTTTGTGACGTCAGAAATTTTAAAACGTGATACATCGCAATATAGCGATGTATCGCAATTTAGCATATGTTCAAAAATTACCTATGACAAATCTTTAACTCAATCAAAAATAAATAAAACGAAATAAATCTATTACAAAAGAAAATACTAATTCTAAACATATTCCACTATGACATCAATATCAATGCTTAATATTTTCAATTAAAATAATAAAGAAGTCAAAGTAAAAGCAAACCCAAATTTTATTTCATTCTTAAATTGAAAATGATTTATTAGTTTAAAAATAGCACTATAACAAAATATTTTACATGCTTGCATTAAAAATTAAAAGAAAAAAAAAACAAAAGTAGAAAACAAACCAAAGAAATGTTCACTTTAGAAAAAAAATTTTTTTTTAAAATTATTTGTTGAAAAAAAATCATGCTTTTGAAACATCATTGGATCCTCTGTTATATTTAAAATAATAAAAAGTAGTAATGACTAATGGTCCAATTCTGTACTTAATAAATGTAAAAATATTTTTTCTTTATTATTTTCTTTTTTGAAAATAAAATCGACTAAAGATTTGTTTGTTTAAAAATGATACTGACTATCTAAAAAATTATAAAACAAACAAGTATTGAAAGAATTTTAATACAAATTAAAAAAAATAAATACTTTAAGTACTAATGTTAAATTATTAAAGAGCGTCAAAACATTACTAAACTCTTTATTTAATTTTTAAAAAAATGATTTGTTTTAACTGCACTACGCACATGGTAGGCGGCTATAAGTACGTGTTAGGGAGGGGACTGAAAAGTAATGTTCATTTTTGCGAAAAAACTTCGCTAAGAGTAAAAAAGTCTCCCAATAGTCGCCTATTCCTGAAAATAGTTGCTTTTTTTTGCCTTTTCAGGCAAAAAAAGTCGCCATAGTCTCCTAAGGCCGAAAATAATAGCAAATAGTTGCATTTTAGTAGTCTGTGGCAACCCTGATGTTACAATTTTTCAACGATTTCCCAATTTCAGGACCATTTTGAAAATATATGAGCCTTTTTAACCTAGGAAAATTGTGAAAAAATATTTGTAAAAAAAAAAGTGCTACTTAATCCAATTTCAGCCCTGTTAGTTGTTGGGCAAAGAATTCATAAGTTTTAACAAATATCATAAAATTAGTTGCATATCACATACACAGGTTATTAAGACATAAATTACTTTTTTCAAGTGGCTCTTGCAGGACTTGTAAATAAGAAGCAGGTACAATTCCTTTTCTGTTTTGCAATTTGGCTTCATACCAGTTGGAGTCTACTCTTCTCAACAAAGTTATCATGTCATGCTAATAAATTTAAATAAAAAAGCTGTTTTTAGAGGGCAAATTAGTATGAACACCATTCATGTTCAAACAGAAATGTATTGCATCAGGTTTAAAGGCAAATTCATTATACAGTCTAAGTTCTTTAGTATGCTCCTCAATTACAATGACCTTTCCATTATAAATTAAAACAAAAGTAGATGAAAAATTAGCAATTTCGAATTATATTAATATCAAACAAGCTAATATAGGCTATATTTAAAAAAATTGTAATAAATTTTTCATACACATTTTTAAGAGAAACTTTATTTAAAATGAACATAATGTAAGAAAAATTAATTGAGGCTATATCAAGTTGATTTTTATAGTTAAATTCAAAATAAAAAAAAGTCTTAAACATCATAGAAGTTTCAAAATAAATGTTTCAAATGTCACATTTATTTATTTTGTTAATTACATAAATTTTAAATTCATGTACTTTTATTGGCTTTGTTTGAATGAATGAAACAGATTACGATTCTAAAAAAAACATTTCTTCAGTTTCTACCATTTGTCAACAGGAAATAAAAACGACCTAACTGAATTTTACAGTCACTTCGTGATCTGATCTTTAAACTTAATTCGTTCATCCATTGTGATATAACATACTATTTTCATTTCATGCGTAATTTTAATTTTGTTCTTAACATTGTCACCGGGAAGAAAAAAAATTCAAATTTTTTTTTCTGAGATTAAGACTATTAAAGCCTTACCTTTTTCACAGAAAGTTCAATAGAAGTGTGGGCAGTAAAATCATAGAGAACTTTACCCATTCCCTCAAATGAAGATTGAGGAAGAGATGCATGTTCTGGTGGTACAACCTTAAAATAAAAAGAACATTACACAATGAAATTAGGGGATCATTATTAATAGGAAAACTATAAGCAAATGCTATTAAAAGTTAGGGGATCATTATTAATAGGAAAACTATAAGCAAATGCTATTAAAAGTTACATTGTTCAATGTTTTGAACATTTAGAGTGCAGTTTCCCCTTCCCCCAATTATACTTCAGTTTAGACCAGTCACGATCTATTCCTATTTGTTGTAAAACTTTTCATTACACAACTTCAGTTCTAAGTCTTTACAGTTGGTGTTTTAAAAATAGGTAAGTTAAATTTTTTTTAGATATCTGAAGCTTTAATAGTTGTGAGATTTAAATTCCTAGAATTATATTTTAATAAATTGATTTGTATCACTGCATCATTTTGCTGCAAGCTCAAAATTGGTTACATACAGAATATGCTTTGTTACATAGCCTAGTGCAAGATATTTTTCCCACCCATTAACATGAATGAAGGTGCTTCTTTAGAAGAGGAAACATTTTTTGTTTTTTTTTCTAAATGTGAACGCAATGTAGAATCAGTTAAGAGTTTAAGACAATTTCAGTTAGTCAATCAGTTTAAGAACATTTAATTAAAAAAAATTTTTTAATTGTATCTTTTGTGCAGTAAAAGTTTTTATTTGTTCAAATAAACAACAGCAAATAATAATAAAGAGCAAAAATGAAAAATAAATAAATGCAAGAGCTAAAATTTAGTAAAGCACAGCAGCAATATTAGAACATCATTGATAGACATGTACAATAAGCAATTATCTGAATGTGTGAAATATGTAAAAATATATATAGTGCTACTTANTATATATATATATATATTGCATCCAAATTATATAATAAGGATAAACTTCTTGTTCTTTTGTTCTTGGAGTAAAAAAATTGATGAGAAACAAATCAGTGCAAGCATTCTAGGAAAATAACTATGTAACAATTCAAATAAAATTTTATGCATTCAAAAACACTATTTCAGTGCTATAATTCTTAAAAAAATACTTTCAAGTGGACCACACTAGGAGATTTCTTTGCAGTTCAGTATGCAGCTGTTCACATTTTATTATAATTTTAAATATAGACTAAATAAATTTATACTAGTCAACTATAAATATGTGAACATTAAAAAAATAATTTCCAACTACATACCTGCCAACTAATAATCCTTTCGAGAAAGATTTTTCGCAGTGGTAGTAAAACAGGATTTGAATTACAAGTTTAGGAAGTATATATGTTGAAATTTGAAAATGCTAATGTCGAGTATCATGACAATATTGCATATCAATATATATGCTTAAATTTTTAAAAATTAGTGGTTGTCAAAAAGATAATAAATTTAGTTTATAAATGCAAAGAATATATAGAAAGCATACATTTTACTACCACTTTAAATATAGAAATAAAATTTTACGCCAACTGCGTAAAAGTTGGCAGGTATGCAACTATTTACAGAAATGTTTTGATTAATCATTACCTCAATATAGCTGATAGGAAATATTCCAACAATTCCTTGCTTTTCCCCTTCATACCAATTTTTATCCAACTGTCGTAATATTAGAACATTATCCCCTTTTTTCAGGGAAACTTCTCTGTAAAAAAAAAGTGATATCTAATTGATTATTTATAGCAACACATTAAAAAAAAAAAAAAAAACGCCATATGAATTTAGCAAAATTTTTTATTGAACTAAGTCCTACTAAGAAAACTCACAGGTTGATTTAAATTACAATATAAAATTACTTTAATCTTTCTTAGCAGTTTTTACTGAATTTTTTTACCTTTCTATTTCTGTAGTGCTACATTCTCTAGTGGGTACTTAAATTTTCATTAGGAATGTCTTTACCACTTGAGCCACTGCAATTTTTGATAATAAAAAAGGATTTATTAGTTTATTCTTTCTCATGCTTTATTTTATTAAAAAAGTTTAAATATTTTGCTCTGTATAAAAAAAGAAAAAGTTGAAATGTGACATAAAAAGGGATATAATTTTAATAACTGGAATGTAACAACTGCTTGAAATCTTTAATGAAACTTGTCAGAGCTGTTCAAATGCTGAAAAAAAATGTTTCCAAAATATCAAAATGCAAAAAAATTATTGTACAAAAACTTTCTCTAGAGGTAATCTTGCCATAATTTATTTTTAGTTTTTTTTTTACTATTTGAAACTTCATGGTTCACTTATCTTTCTCTAAATATTACTGATATAGACGAAAGAGAATTTGACATGAAAGGTTTCTTCTCTTACGAAGTCAAAATAAATATATCATTGAAAAAATACATACTTGGGTGATTCTGGCCTGAAATCAAAGAGAGCTCGAGCAGGTATTTTCAAATCAGGTGATCTACAAGGTGATTTTAAAATTGAACGTGTAGGAGACGACAATTGACTGGATCTATGGAAAGAAAAAAAAACATGGTAACAATACAAAACAGTTTAATAGGCAGTATTGATAAAATCAAACTAAAGTACTCAGAATCTGAGAAATATTTTTTAAACAGTAACCTTAGGTAGAAATTTTATAATTTGAAATACTTTTTTAAAATTCATCAAAAACCTCTTTTATTTGAAGGATTGCAAATATGAAGATAAATTTAAAAGTGAGATTCACCAATTTGCATTTTTGCACAGCATAAAAAAAATGTAAAAAAATTAGTTTTAAAATTAAATTTAAAACTAGTATTATTTTATAAGAACTAAAAGCTAAAAAGGAAGATTTATAAGGTTTTACAATTCATTTGAACAAGGTTGAACAACTACCTCTATATAAACCCTGTTTGAAGTTGTTTATTTTGTTAAGCTGGTAGCACTTCCTGGATTGCTGGAAACGCTACCAGCTTAGCATAAGTTGTGATGTTACAACAACAAAAGTTGAAGATGTTACAACAATAAAAGTTGAAGATGTTACAGTTTAAATTAAATAATAAGCAAAGCTGTATACAGACATATACAATCAAGTTCAATAGTTTGATCAACTTAAGGTAATTTTCAAAAAGAGGAAATTTATAATAACCTTAAAAAAAAAAGATTACAAATTAATATTTTAATTTCAATAAAAAAATCTACATTTTCAAAATTTCCTATTAAAAATTGGAGATTGAAATGGACTACAGGTGGTGTAGAGCTGAACTCTCTACCTATGGCAACACTTCACATGCTTACACCATTAGCATGTGGAAAGTCACAGGAGAAGGAAGTACGTTTGTTTAAGTCTTTATTTTCAAATAGATTAAGGAATTTTAAGTTTAGAAACCAAAAACTATGTTGAACACAGTTCTAAAAGAAAGCATCATGGAAATCTAAGAAAATATTTTTTGATAGTTAAAGACCAAAAATATTAAGTAAGAGGATAATATTCAACTGTAACTTGATTGATGGGGTAAAATTTTTCTTAATTTTGTGTCTGGTTATGGTATATGGTATGGCGAATATGGTCTTTCCTTAAAATTAGTTGCTCTACATCTTTAGCCTCTATTATTTGAGCTAATAACAAAACTTTTCTGTGCTATTTATTCCAATACAAAGATAACAAAATTAATTTTCAAGCAAAGATAACATTTACAAAGCGCAGTAAAATACAAAATAATAATTAAAATTTTCATCTTTAAAAATACGAATAAGATCTATTTGTTTTAAGAGAAGTAAAGCAATAGTACAAATGAAAGGTAAACTTACGATGGGGATAATCTTTGATGCAGTTCCGAGTGAATTACTTGTCTCATTTGGATTTCGTATGCACCATTCTGTTGCTAAAAAAGTATAAAATTAACTATGTTTTATGATATATATATCATAAAACATATATATCATAAAGACATTTATTGTATTTTATTAATTTCTAAATAAATGCAACATATAAATATAATTTGTATAAGAAATAAAATGCATTTATAATAATAGAAATAAATGAATAATTTGTATAAATATGAATGTAGTATTCGGAAAGGCATTTAAACCGTTAACTGTTAGAGGCAAATTACAAGAAAGTTGTTTTAAAAACAGAGAACTTGAGGTTATTTTTCAACTTGCTAATTCTAAAAAGACATCAAAGATTAAAAATGTGATTAAAAATAATGTTTTAAATATATGAATTATAAAATACCAACATTAAATTGTAAAATATTATAAATAAGTTATGTAAGTTCAATGTAAGTAAGTAATAAGTTATGTAAGTAATTGAACTTAAAACCTATGATTTAAAAATAAGCAAAATTTAAGTTTCTACTACTACCAATAATATAATTTATAAATTTATCAAACTATAACAAATTCATGCAGTCACTCAAAAAATATCCTACTTGGCAAAGTCCATTTTCATTCACAATAGCATATTCAGATGGTAAGGTCAAAGGTCTTGTACCTAGATTGTTTTTTTTAAAAAAAAATTAAAAAATTAAGATTTATGCAAAGAGAAAAGGAAAAAAAACTTTCTAGTATAAACCCAGACAAATACATAAGTTTAATATATTTACCTTGAGTTGGTACAGTTGGGCCATTGTAGTTTAAAGGTGGGTGTGGTAAAGGTCCAATGGATGGTTCTAAAAATTAAATAATGAGTAAGTAAAAAAACTAAAATACAAAACTTTTGATCCAAGTTTCAATAAATTGAGAATTTTTTTTAATTATGTATATAATCTAAAAAAGCTTTTAACAAGACGAAACTAGAAAATGTTAATTTCTAGCTTGTTACTTCGAAGGCCAACTCTTACAGAGGAAGAAGAGGTTTGGTTTTTTAAAATCCTTTTATGTATTATATTATTCTTATATATATCACCAATAAAAATATAGATGAATGATATTAAATTTTTTAACACTGCTTAAAAAAATCAAATGGCAAATATCACAAATTAGAAACGAGACTAATTACCAGAATGAATTACAATTTATTACATAAATTTAACTCATTAGTTAAAAAGAACAATGCCCATGCTGTTAGTAAAGCATATCTAATTTATCATAATATTATTTTTAAAATATCATGTCTGCAATAAATACAATTATAGAACACGTGATTAGAAAACAATTCTGTATTCATTTTAATATTTAATTTTTTGTTACATGCTTTTACAAAACTTTTGGCTACAAAAAACCATTAAAGTTCCTCACATGGTCAACTAAAAACGGGGGTTTAGCTTGATTTCTGATACTTTTCCATGAACTTAGTGAAATTCTAATACACAACATTAAAAATATCCTGAAATTTTTTTTAACATGTAAATCATATAGAATGCTATGATTATTAATGATATGATTGGTGATATATAGATTTATTTCAATACTGTGTTGTGTAACGCTCTGATGGCACAGTTGGCTAAGGAAGCGCTCACACTACTGGCTGGAGAGCTGGGGGTAGTGAGATTGAACCTAGCAGTCGACCAAACAACCTTCGTGTATATGCAGCAAGATGCACATTAAATTTGTTGTGGCTGAAAGTCCTTTCGTTGCTTGTGGAAGTTTGGAGAGAAGGATTCCAGTTCAGGTCATCCGACCGGGGTCAAAATTACGTGATAATCTGCCCAGTGCCTTAAAAAAATGGGGATATGTGCTTGGCTATGGTTGGGTGATGTGTGTTGTATCACAATGCTTTATAAAACAGACTAGAGAATTAAAACTAAAATGGAACAAAAGAAACATGAATACAATACAGGACTTCAACAGGGAATACTCTGCATGCAGTCATGTGAAAGCTTTTCAGTGAAGAGCAGCTTAACAAAAAGAATATAGGGTAGAATCAGAGACACAAAAGAGGTCAACTTGACAAATTTCACTGTATAGTAAGAAGGTTTATATACCTTGGATCTTTTCTGGAGCAGGTTTCCCTAAGCCGCACTGGGGAACTTCCCCTCCATGTTGGATTTCATTGTACCACTTTTTTTGCTGATTGGCGGAAGGCGGATCTGGTTGCACTAACTTTTTTGTATAGTGATTATCTTGTTCATAACCATTTTTGAACTCACTGAAAAAGAGTTGAATTAAAAGGATTACAAAACATTCTGCAATGTTGTAGTGTTTCCTTTAAATATATTAATTTATTGCTACTTACTAGGAAGGTTTAGGAACATTCATGGGTGGCAGGTATCTTTTAGAACCCTAAACATAAATACACAAATAAAAGTATTCATAATTAATATATTTCAGATTGTAATTCAACAATAAATAAATAACTGGACTCGTTTCGAACAAGTAAAGGAACCACAATATTTGCTCCTTACAACCAATTGCTTGTAAAAAAATTGGTTTGAGTATGAGTAAAAATAATTATGACTTCATACATACTATTAAAATAAGAAATAAAGGATTTACTTAATTTATTTTTTATTCACGTTCAGTGCAAAAGATAGTTAATTTGCTTTAAGTCATGAGTTATGAAATTGTTCTTTCGATAAGCCCAAGAAACATCATCAATATTAAAAATAAAAAAATTCCTCAATTCAAAAAATATCAAAAAGGAATTTTTTAAAAAAGCGATTAGCTGAGTTGGAGATGAGGAATTTAAAGAAAAAAAAATCTGAATCACAAAAACAATGCTCGCTAAAAGCGGGATTTGCTTGTTAAAAGGTAGCAATACTCCAATAGACTTAAAAATTGGTACAAACCAAGTATTTCCGTTTTCTTTGTTAAATCTTTGTTCTCGTTTAATCAAAGCTCATTGCACTGAACTTCAGAAAATGCAATAAACTAAGCATTTAATTTTTAGAGGGTTCCTTTATGCCTTTCTTTGGGTTAAATTTAGGAAACAAAATTGTATCTAAACTTTTTAAAATTTTAATTATGCTCCTTTCTTACAATAAAATTTGATCCTTAATTTTTTCAATAAATTTCTGATCATCCATGCTCTGTTATCAGGATGAACTTTGGCAAATTGCAATGGAAGACGCATCAAATATTTTCTTAACAGGATATTTTGTTTCACAATATTTTATATGAGTGAAATCCTGTTTCTTAATATTTTGATTCTGTACCCATCCTATTTTGTTAATACAAGATCCACTATACTGGTTATCACAAATTATAGAAAAAATTACCTTTACTTAAAAAGTTATATACACAGAATTTACCGAAATTGGCGCACATTATAGTGCATAAAATATCATAAAAAGTATTAACCAAACAATTATGATCCTTCTGAAATTAGCGTATGAAATGTGTCAGTTTGGAATATAAAAAGTATCTTAAGTATGATCATCTTTTCATCTTTAGCAGTTTTGCAATATTTGTTGCTCTACAATTCGTTTCTTTAAATTATTGTTAAAGACATGTACTGACAAAACATTGTTAGAAAACAGCACCAAACCTACAAATTAAGAATTGCTTTAAAAGTCATGGGTGATATTTTCTTAGCATTTCTTAATTGTGGGTGTCACTCTACTCCGTTCCATGTAGTTTACTGTAATATCACAGTAAAGATCAAAATAAATAAATAAAGATTTTAGCTATTATATTATATTAGTTAAATGAAAACTATGAATGTGATTTCTCCCTTTAAAAACTAGAGGTCGATTTATTGGAAGGTGTTTATTGAATGCCTATTAAATATTATATCAAATTATGTGTTGTTCTACTTAACGATAACATAAAAATATTTATATATACTTTTCAAAATAAAAATCTCTTTATGCCTTTCAGAATAAAAAATATTTTATGAAACATAAAATAACAGTTACCTTACTGGTAAAAAAATTTTAACAAATGAATGATTACTCAAACATGGGTACTAAGTTAATAATGATATTTTATAACTCACATAAGTAATTTCATCATCCGTAACAGAAGAATGTCCTGGTTCATAGTCCTCTATTAATCTAGGACGCACATTGTATGTTTCTATAGACGATTTAGCAGAGGGTGGATAACCATACCCAAAACTAAAATAAAATGAGTGTGTTGCTATATTATAATATATATAAGGGAACACATTACAATGCAAAATGTATTTAGTGAACAGTAAATTTAAAGTAATCAATTATTTTTTTGTTTAAAATGTAGTCTAGGGGTGCACAACCTTTCTGAATGAATATATACAATATAAACATTGGTATTTTAGGCACAATTCCTTTTATCAGTTAACTTAGTAATATATTTGCATTGAATTCTTTTAAATATTCATTCAAGTCCTTAAGAATACCAAACTGATATTCCTAAAAAAAAAATCAATCTCTTTAATTAAAAAATAGATTTACAGGAAAAAAAATATAAAGGTTGGGAAAAAGTTACCGTTTTCGTACCACATCATGTAACAGAAAAGTAAATATTGAAATAAATTAACTGTATGTTTATGAATGAAAATAAAAATAAATATTTCATTAAGGAATATAAATGCTAATTAATGGGAATTAATTTATAATATTGAAATAAAAGCATCATGATTTTGAAAAACACATGGAAATTCGACAATAACTGCCAAAAACACAAACTAAAAGTCACTTAGATTAACAATAAAATGCACACAAATAAAGAGCTTTAAAAGTGATTACTAGAATTTGAAATTCAATTCATTGCAATTATGAGAAAATATATAGAATATTGAGAGTTGACAAAAATGTTGAGTTTTAAAACTTTGGAAATTTCTAAGGATAATCACAAAAAAGGCAGTAAAAACTACATTGATTTAGATTTTGAGTGTCTAAAACTTATATGTGCAATTCAAAATTTTCAATTATTTTTATTTTCGAAAAAACAAAAACATATATAATTGTTTATTTTTATGTTCAGGTACTGCCCATAATGTAGTCCTTCATATTAGATACGATTAAACAGGGTGCATAGTCAAATATTTCAACAAAAAATAAGCACCTTTTAAGCACTCAAAAAATACTTTCAAGCGCTATATATATGCTAACAAAATTCGACACAATTTTCAAAGACTTTACATGATTATGATAAAATAACTAGTTTCTGACAAAGAACTTTTTTATTGATTATATTAGCCACCATAAAACGATGGAAAGATTTTTCGGTTCAGTATCAGAGGGTGGAAAATAAAGTATGAAATTGAGAATATCTTACAAAATACAGCAGAGTTGCACACGAGAGTGCTAGAATCTCAACGAACCCAGCTCATCCAACGCACATGCAGACTCACAAACATTTCATAAAACATCTAAAATGATTACTGCTTTCATGTGCTTAGGATCAACGGTCTGCGAAATAGATTGTGGTTGAAGGAATCGTGAAAGCGTTGAATAGAACAATATGAAAACCTTGCTTTTGCCACAATATGTGGTGAAAATCGACATGGTAAAGAAAAAAATCTTAATTTTGGAATTAAGGCCTTTTTAAAATACCCCAATGAAAAAAGCACCTTTAAAGGCTTTTAAAAAATGAAAATAAGCACTTTTCAAAAATGCTACACACCATGTTAAATACATATTAAGAGAGTTTCTTCAAAAAAGAAAAATTAAGAAATATTAATATAAGCTTATAGTTATAGTATATTAAAATGTCACAAATATTTATTTATATAAATTAAAATAATAGAATTAATAATATCAAAGATCTTAAAAAAAGTATATTAATCACGAACATTTGCTGTAATTTTAAAGATTACAATTATGACATGTTTTAAGTTCATCTATATTCAAAAATTAAAAATTCATCATACACAAAATATTCCTTTCAATACAGTATAAGACAGGAAGATTTTTTATTGCAAAATATTTCAAAGTTTAATGATGAGAAAACTATTTCAGAAATGCACAACCGGAAAAACATTTTAACAAATCATTAATTTAATTTCATTGGAAATAAATATTAAAGTCCCTATTAAATAACATACACATACTTACAACTATCAATATATCTAAAAAGTTTTAATTTTTAAGATATAATGCTTACTTATTGTTGTTGAACTTGGAATCATTATTGTTACTGGAACGGTTGTCAAGAGTGGATGATTTCTTTCTCATAATTTTATCTAAAAATAAAATTTATATTTTAATATAATTAGGAAGTTTAAATATATAAAATTAGGAAGTTTAAATATATAAAATAAACTAAGTCTAAGGTGTATTATACCTTTTTTATTAGATTCAGGTTCAGAACTGTATCCAATAATGTACTCCTGTGGATCTATGAAAAAATGAATTCTTTTATCATAATATAATTATAAATAAAAATAGTTATGATGCAAATAAATTGAATTAACAGTGTTTTAAATTATAATCTTTAGTCCAAAAAAAAAATTCGTCAAAATAAATACACACATAATTTATTATGGGGAACAGTAGGTTTCCCTTTGGTGGACCCAAGGTAATAACAAATCTATTTCTTCTTTAATGAAGGCAATTTCTACATCATGCTTCCCTTGGACTAATATGTTTTAGGCTACTGACTCTATCGACACATCTATACTAAAACTGCATTTTGTGTGAATGTTTGGAACTGTCCTGCCTCACAAGACACTTTTTGGCTCTCCATCCTATTTTGGATACATATCTCTCTTCATTATAGGATTGCAAGGCTTAATAAAACAAATATAAGGACATAATTGTCACAAATGCTATTAAAAAATAGTTCAAAAATGTAATATGAAATATGATCGATAACATAGTGGTCTCTTTCTGAGTTGCTAGTATATGTTTACGTAACATTGATTAACAACAGTGGAGTATGGTGAAAAAGGACATTTTGGGATAAAGGGAAGGAAAAATATTGATAAAACTGTGTGTCATCATTTATGGACTTAGAGTGAAGCAGTAAACAGGTAAAACATTATAATTGTTATTAAATATATTGAAATCGACTGTTTACTGATTTGTTATCTTACAGCAGCCATTCTTTTTACTATTTTCTTAAAAAAGGCTTTTTGAGCTGTGTTCATTTTCTTAAATAAGTATTTCAAGCTTTTTCCATTTTTATTTGAAATACCATAATAAAAACTCACAAATGTTCAATTTATTTTTATTTCAATTGCTTTTTGATACAACACATGTGTAAATCTTTTTTTTCAATCACTAGTGGGCTAAGTCACCTGTTCGCTTACCTATTTAGATCTATTGGTGAACAGAAGTAATTTTCTAAGTAATTAATTTTTAAAATATCATTTGTAACATTGTATTGTTCAAGTAAATTTGACGAGTTCACAATCGTTATTTAATATTTTCGCTTACCAAACTGAAGGATATATTAAATATTATTTTTGTTTGTAACTCATTGTGCATGAAGCTGATCATTAAGTTCTAAATCATTTAACAGATATCTTTACATTGTGCATGAAGCTGATCATTAAGTTCTAAATCATTTAACAGATATCTTTAACTGTAATTTATAACAGTATATTTAATAACCCTTGTTGAACAGCTGACCCAATTTTTGGATTTACGGCTACTAATGTTCCACTCTGTAGCCTTGTAATTCTGAACCCAATCCAGGAAGATAAGGGATCTCCTGGGTCAAGTACCTGGAGAAATTTGCCTCCGTGAAGGACTTTTTGATAGAACTAACCCGCATTTGCGTTACATGGAGAGGAAGACAACGGGAACCTCTCACGGATAGACTGACAGCAAGGGTACTCTAATCCATGATCCGTCCAGCACTGAGTACCTATATTTTACGTCAGCATTGCAGTCAGTACAACCCAGATGCGGGAATTGTACTGAACAGCTATTGCTGAGATTCGAGCCCGGTTCACCTTATTGGATGGCAAATGCTCTATCCCCTGAGCTTGCACAAAAGTAATAATTGTAGAACTGTTAATAAGATTAGACCACCTTACTAAATTATTTTATCTTAAAATGTAGAGCAGAATTACATTATAATAATAAAAAAAAACAATTCTCTTAGCTTTAAACTCTTGAATTAAAATCATAATAATAGCAGTACAGGAAAATAACAGTTAATTAGGGATCTAAATTTTTTTTTATAGAAAACAATACCTTTACAACTTTTATCAATATTATGCTGATGATGAACAGAACAATATGGAAATGAATGAGGGAAAACTGAATCCTAATAAATGATTTTCCAGCTAATAAAAATGCACAGACAACAATGGAAAACTGTGACACCATCATTAGATTTTTATATATAGTAAGAAACATTTTCATCAATTTTAACAAGATAATTGAAAACAAGTGTATAGTGGAAGAAATTCTGTAAAGTTCTGTACAAATGTATAACATACCATTGGAACTATCTGCTTTATGCAAAGATTTATACATAGTCTTGTACCAGTTGTGCATATTTTCTTTCTTTACACTCTAAAAAAGTAGTAAACAAGTTGAGTTTCATTTATTTTTAAATAGTTATTATTAAATTAAATCTTTAAAATAAAGTAGTTTTACAAAATATATTATTATTTAAGAAAATATTTATTTACATGTCTGGATGCATTTAGAAAAAACTGAAAGTACTTCCTAAATACATTAGTCTACATCATTTCACCAGACAAAACACAAATGCTTAATTTAAATAAATATGAGATGAGCAACAAAAAGAAAATCATTTAGAAATAACTCAAGTAATAACAATGGAAACAAAATTAATTAACTACATAACTCCACACAATTATATGAAATGTTAAAAAAATTTACACAAACAATATTTTTTAAAAATCTCTTGCTTTTCTTACAACTATAACTTTCATTGTTCGCAAAAGTTTAATATGTTCAGGAGTTACTAATTCAAATTTAAATGCCGCTGAAAAATTAAAAGATGTTCCAAACCTTAGTTAGATACCAAATTCTTAAAAAGGTTAATCATGCATACAATAGTGATATTTTTTAAGAAATATATGGAATAAATAGATAATTCACAGAAAAAAATAATTTAGAATGTAAAATTAATTAAATAGGCTGCCATCAAGCATCAAAGCTAAAGATTGTTTTTTTTTTTTTTTTAAATAACTAAGTAAATTGGCTGAAATCAAGAATCCAAACTAATTTTTTACACATATTTAATATTTAAAAAAAGAATAAATATTTAAAATTTAAAAGTAATTTTATCCAAAATATTCCCTTCAAACAAAAAAACGTACATTTCTAGGTGCAATTGGAATACCGTCTTCAGTCGGACCGATACCTTCATACTTGGGTGGAGCTGGAATGAATCTAGTTGTCGATGTTGTTTCTTTCAAAACTTCCTTTACGGGAAGAGCATAGTACTTATCTGTATGCACTTTATCTCCATCTATAGTTGTTCTCTTATCGATTAAAACAGCACCAGGAGGAGGTGGTTCATCTAAGATAAAAGAAACAACAAAATATATCTAAGCTTTGATGTAAAAAGACATAACTATCACTAAGTTTAAAACTAGATATTTTTACTTACAGCAAAATTATTTATGTTAAATACTGAACCAAGTGTGCAATTGTATGAGAGTTAGATGCGTTATGAGGGTTATAAGTTCGACTATTCTCACTTTAGTCTTTGTGACAAAGATAAGTAAATTTACAGTTTAATAATTGCAAAATGATTAAGTTACACACATTTTTCATAAAATGCTACATAATAATATAAAATCACAGGATTACTTTACATAATAAAAGATTCCCACTTATAGTATTAAGCCCTTAATTAGGAATAATGTTAATTACATCATAATAATAGTAGAGAATAATACTAAGAAAGTATGATAAAGAACTAATACAACTGGGCACACTTTTGTAATCATTGCCTAAAACAATAATGTTTCTATCAAATTGCAGTCAACATGCCAAAATACTTGGGTATGAGACTCATCTTTAATAAAGTTTTTGCATTCTTAACTTAAATAATGAAAAACAATAAAAGTTATAAAATTAGTCTTAGCACTTTTTTTTCTTTTTTTAAAAAAAGGAACAAATCTGATGATCTGAAAGATTTCTTTTTTGTAAGATTGAAATAATTTTTCTACTGTTTATATTAGATACACATTCATTATTTTTTTTTTGACTAAATGTGTTAATTCTAGATCATATTTGTTGTTTTTATATTACATTATAATATTACATTTGTATCCACCATTTTTAGTGCAAAAAAAAACAGATTTCAATAGCTTAGAATTCATTGCCTTTCGTCAAATCGCCAAATAAATTTGAGAAATTTAAAAATAAATTTTTATTTTCTCTAAAAAATACAGAAAAATTATTACATATAATGTTTTTGAATACATGCAATTACTTAATAAAAAAAAGATCAAAGAAATCATCCCATAAAGATCACTTACGGGTAATAATGGTATTTGAAGGTTCTGCAGAACCATTATGGTAATTGTCATTTTTTCCATTCACTAAGGAAGGACTCTTCATTCTTTCATCTGGACTAAAACCATTACTATCAGCCTTAAAATAACAAGAAACATTTTAGGACACCCAATAAATATTGAAAAATAAAAAATATGTTGTTCTATAATGTCCATTAATCAAATTCTAAGATATGGAAAACTATAAATTTTTTAAAATTATTTTCTCACATAATTATTAGAATACAATTATACAATCAGCATAATCAGAAGGATTACACATTTGTCTGGTTGTAGATTTATAAATATATATAAAATATTTGTTAAATCAGAGAAAATTGATTTTAATGCTAAAATTTTTGTCTGAATGGTAATGATACAGAAACAAAAATGTATTTTAAAATCTATATTTACACTATTAAATTATCTTTATAAAGAATCATTTAAATAATTTTATTTTGCTAAATTTTTGAAAAAAATCAAGAGATGATATTACTCATTTATTTAAATCTAAATGGCATTGACTTTTCAATGGCATTAAGTTATTCAATTAAAACTGGAGAATATAAAATAACACTTTTAAAAAGAAAGGTTTCCAGAAGCATTCTTAGCGGTGTGAAAGAAAATGGCAAAGACATTTTAACACAGAAATGTTCAGAGCTGTTATAAGAGTCTGATATCATCAAGCGAATTAAAAATAAGTTAATAAACTGGGCTGCTCATAAACATCAGAATGGACGAAAAACTCCAGTGAAGAAATTTTTTGTATTAAAGCTTTACACTAGTTAAAAAAGAAAAAGGCCAAAACAATGATGTCTCAACGCTGTGGTATCAGACTTTAGAGTGTTTGAGATAAGAGATTGGTAGTCCGTGTCAAGAAAAAAAAAGAAAAAAGGTTATCCTGGAAGAATCTTCAGAAGAAGGTCTTGAGCAATGAATATATAAAGGAGAAAAAGTCCAGTTATTAATATGTAACAAGCAGGAAGAATTCCTTGGTATGGTATGCTATACCAGAAAAATTACTTAAGGGAGAGTAACAAACTCAGATTTAACTGAGCATCATATGTAATAAGATCAACAGTAGGTACTAATAAGTAAATTGAGAGCCACGATTGCTCAGGGGATAGAGCATTGGCCATCCAATGAGATGAACCGGGTTCGAATTCCAGTCGATACGAATTCCGCATCCGGCAGGCACCAACCACAGTGCTGATGTGAAATATCCTCAGTGGTAGACGGATCATGGGTTAGAGTCCCCTTGCCGTCAGGCTAACCATGGGAGGTTCTTGCGGTCTTCCTCTTCATGTAGCGCAAATGTGGGTTACCTCCATCAAAAAGTCCTCCAGGAAGGCAAATTTCTGCTAATATTCGATCCAGGAGTTCCCTAGTCTTCTAGATTGGATTCAAAATTACAAGGCTACGGAGTTGAACATTAATAGTCATAAACCCATAAAATTGGGTTGGCTGTTCAACGACAGTTAAAAAAAAATGCAAATTGAGGGAGCCGGGATAGCCTGGTTGGTAGGGCATTGGGCCCATGTAAGAGGTCATGGGTTTGATCCCCGCCAGCCGAAGAGTTAAGTCCTCCATGTCCTATAACAAATCAGACCTCTGGGGGAACTGATACAGGAGTTTGTTGTCTGGGTCAGTTCAAAACTACAAGCCAACAGAGTTGACCATTAGTAGTCGTAAACCCAAAATTGGGTCAGCTGTTCAACGACGGTTGCAAAATAAGCAAATTGAGAGTCATGATTTATGTCACCAGAACAGTTTATCGGTCATGTGCATTACCTCATGCAAACATACATTTTATTCTTTCATTTTATATCAAAACGGACTGGTAGATAGAGATGATACGACATTGATATAAATAAATTCTTAAAGAAATATCTTAATAATACAGTTCGATTAATAAGTGGTTCGAAAATGCAACAACAGACCAAACATAAATAAAAAGAGAAAACATTTCTTATTCTCCCAACCATAGCAGTGCTTGGGGGTGAGGTGAGTGTAAATCCATTTTAAGAAGCGTCTCTGTTTCTGTGACCTATATGTTGCTTTTTCTGTTATACTCAGAGGATAGTAGTAACCTGCGAGAAAACGGTTTTCATTACGCCTATGGAAGCTAGCCATTTGAACATTCTTTGCCTGTCACGCCTAATATGATTATCAGAATTTGAAAGTAGTTCAGAACAAAAGAAGCAATAGAAAATCCAAAATTTGACATTAATATCCAAAAGGGTGAGGTCTCTTAGAGATTTAAGAGTAGGATGAATAAAGGATCAAATGAAAAGCTTTTCAATATTAAATAATAATTAAATATGCAAGGAGGAGTAATTTAGTTTAAAAAAAATTACATTTAAATGAATTAAGTACAAAATTGATGCTTTAGTTCAGGAACAAAAAATGTGAAGAAAGATCAGAGCTAGTTGTCACAAAAATACTAATACAAAAACAGTCAAAATTACTGAGTTTGATGCAGTTTTCATAAAGGAGATTGCCAAACTGTATGATTAAATTTACGTAAAATCAAACATTTAAAAAATATTTTCACCTTTTCTCAATTAAATTATTTATATAATTTTAAAAGGATATCTTATGTACAAATTAATAAAAATACATCATTTATTATTTATTTTTAAACCAAATGTGTGTGTGTANAAATGAATATATATATAGAATAAATATTTATATTCAATTAAAATTAATGACTTAAGCAAGAATTCAACTAAGCTAAATAATAAGATGATTTACATCAATAAATTTATACTGTGGAACAGTAAAACTTTTGAATTGACTTAGTCTAGGCAATGTAATGCATTTTGCAACAAATAGCCTTAGTATTACTAACATCAGATTTGAACATGCAAAAATTAATTTTAGCTTGAATAAAAAAAGAAGTCTAATTTGTTGTTGTTAAAAAAATTAATAGTAAATAAGGATAATTTAAAACTCTTGCACAATATTTCTGATGGTTATCAATAAATAAGTAACAGAACATTATCTTTTTTCAGTTTAATAGTTTAACATAAGTTCATTTAACTTTAAGAAATAATTAAAAATAAACATGATACAACCTTATATGTTAAGTTCCTAAAACCAACAAATATTTATTGGGATACAAATTAAAGCTGTTTTTAAAGTTTGAAAAAGTAAACCTTTCAATTCTTTAATATTTAACAATAATTTTACAATTTCTAAGTTTTAAATAAAAAATACCCACAATATAAAAGTTAATTAATGCAGAAAACTTAGAGCAGCAAATACTGCAAAGAAACTTAGTATGTTCTGCAGCTGTAAGGTAAATTAATCAAGGGGCCTTAACCTGCGCAGAAATAGTATTTACAAAATAGAATATTTAATTGAATATTTTTTCAAAAAATAAAATCATTTTCACCATATTATATTTTACAGAGACTAATAGAGTATATTAAAGCATCAAAAATTTTAAATTTAACTACATAACAAGTAGGGCGGAAATAGGAGTTCTTTTCAATTTAAGAAACAAATTTAGTAACAAAAAGTTCAAATTTAAAAAAGAACTACTGCAAATTAAAGTATAATTAAAAGAATTTGAAAAATTTACTTTTCTTTATCTTTCAAAAGCTTTTTATTTCACAGCAACTAAACTTGAAAGTTACTTTTTTGTAAAAATGCAAAGTGAAAATAAATAAATGTATACACGAATTACATGGGAATGTTACATATAATGAATATTTATAAATATATAATATAAATTAGATAGGATTATTAAATAAATATGTATTTAAAGTTACATATAATAATAAAATAGTTACCTTATAGATTTTACTATTCAAAGGTGAATGGCTTCTGAATCCATCATTACTTTCGTATCTTTTATCTACAAAACGAACAAAATATAAAGTAAAGAAACACAGCATTTTAAAAGTAATTTCTAAGCTAGTCTAAGAATTTAACAAGACACAAATTCACAAGAATATATATACATATTTTCTCAATATTTTAATTTATATATATAGTTACCCTGCACTTTAGATTTATCTTCAAAAATTTCTAGCAAAAAAATATACAACTAAAAACACTAAACCTGCTGAATTAAATAAAAATAAGGCATTATAACTCTCTAAATATATTAAACGAGATTTTCAAGAATTCACATATTGTGTGCCTAAACATTCAAATAAGATTTTACAATATTTTGTGAATAAAATAGAGCTAAATACATAAGATTCATTATTGCGCATAAAAAAAAAAAACCAAAAAAGTGTTTACTACAAAAAATTTATACCAATTGGAAGTATAAAAGCTTCCGGCTACCTATTTTTGTACGATCCTAGAACCATAATAATTTAAAATCAATCATAGACTTGTATTTTGTGACGTAATATAGTTAGTCCTGGACTTCAGCGTTAAGTAGGGATCGTTAACAATATAAAGCTAAGCACAAATAGCGCTAGGCTGTTGTTGTTGCTGTTCATTTACGTCGCAATAGAGCTGCGCAATGGGCTATTGGCGACGGTCTGGAAAACATCCTTGAGAATGATCCGAAGACATGCCATCACAATTTTGATCCTCTGCAGAGGGGATGGCACCCCCGCTTCGGTAGCCCGACGACCTGCACTCGAAGTCGAGCGCTTTACGGTAGAACAGTTTAACGAGGACCAATACCGCACAGCGCACACCCTCGGTTCCCACGCAGGCTGATCCAAGTGGTCACCCACCCGCACACTGACCGCAGCCAGTGATGCTTGACTTCGGTGATCTGTTGGGAACCGTGTCTTAACGATCAGTCCACTGCGGGACTGGTAGCGTTAGGGGGTTAAAATTCACAGTAAGATTTCCAGGTTACAACTTCCGACTATTTTTTTCGTATAAGCTTGAAAAAACACGCCATGGAATTACACATGTAGTGTTCACAATAATTACGCGTTCTTTTAATTTAACTTTCAATGAAACAAATAACAAATATATTCGGAAAACCTCGCAACCCAAGCATGCTATGGATGCTACCCAAAAAATAACAAGCGACTATATTTCATACAATTATAGCCAAATAAGGGATAACACTCAAAACTACCTTTACACTTTATATTGTGATATTAATTTTCGTAAACTTGTTTTCGGCTCACGACCTGTTAGAATTTTTAAATTAGAGAAAACTTACGAATAGTTAAATTTCGGGTAAATATGATTAAAAATCACAATAATAAAACTTCTTAGAATATCATTCGCGTGCAGGTCGTCGGGCTACCGAAGCGGGGGTGCCATCCCCTCTGCAGAGAATCAAAATTGTGATGGTATGTCTTCGGATCATCCTCAGGGATGTTTCCCAGACCGTCGCCAATAGCCCATTGTGCAGCTCTAGTGCGACGTAAATGAACAACAACAACAACAACATCTTAGAATATCAAGCCTGTTCACACATCGGCTCGTAAGATTAACATAAGCGGAAGGATACACCGAAGTTTTTTTAAAATTTCAACCATCCATATAAACTATTCTAATATGCGGATTTGTAGGTCATAAGCAGTCAAATCATTTTTATTAAATTTTCTTTATTATTTAAAGAACAATTAAACTATTATTCTATTTTATTATAAAAGTAAGAATAAAATATATATGACGCCAGAAAATACTAATTGTAGTGTAAATATCAGTACGATAATACGATTTCAATTCACTAGTATATAAGCCAAGTTAACTCGATTCCATCATAGGGTACTTTTTGATAGATGAAGGATGACATTGCTAATAACACTTTCCCCACATTGGTGACCCGAACGTGATTTGAACACGCCAACCTCGACGTAACATCCACTTCGACTATAATAAGTGAACTTCGATCGATGGTCCACATTGAACAGTTGACTTGCTATTTGCGACATTGATAGATGAATCGAGCTGTTACTTTTCCATTTCGATCACACACAACGAAGCCTGTCGACGGCTAATAGCATAACAGGAGCGGCCAAGCACATAATCGTAATCTTAATATAGTTCTCACCATAAGCAATAAAAAAAAATCCGGTGACCTTAATACAGATATCCCGGCCTCTCATGAAAACAGCAATGAATCAATTAGTGGAAATTATTCATCCATCGAATTTTATTCCAGATAAACTGGTGGGGGCGTAATGTAGTGTAACTACCAGTACAATAATACAATTCTAATTCACAAGTATATAAGGCAAGTTGACTCAATTTTATCTTGGGGTACCTTTTAAAAATAAAGGCTGACATTGTCGATGATACTTTCTCCACGCAAATATTTTTAAACACAATTACTTCAAAACAGTGTTTTGGTCAAGAAGTTTTTTTAGTTGATTTTTTTCAATTTCTTAAAATATTTAATTTTTTCTACATTTATTTCCATCTTGAGAACAGTTCAGATTTACATTAAACATTGAATGCGTAAGCCAAACATTAAAAAAATGAAGTTAAATAATAAATGTGGCAATCATATAGGATATTATATTAATATTCCGTAACGATATGGTTAAGAAATATTATATTTTCAAAAACAAAGCAAAAAAATAAACAAACAAAGCATTAAAATTACATAAACGTTGTCGATTTTTGAGGCAGTTTCGGCAACTTTAAATTGTTTTTCTATTTAATAAATTTAATCATTAACTGCTTTAATTCGAAGTCGGAGGCCGAAAGAATTAATATTTTATTTCTGGTGCTTTTTCAAAAAAGACATCCATATTGTTAAGATAACAGTGAAGGAGTATTTGGTGGCGAAAGACATAAAATTGGGTTCTTATAAACGTTTTAAACACGAATTTGGAAAAGGATGAATGGAAACCAACTGTTCTGTTCCCATTAAGAGCAATGACGCATAAACTTTGGTGATCAGCCAAAAGAAACACTCTGGTTATCTTTACACCTTTCCTTTCCAAATGATGATAGGTAGTTATTGCAAAGAAAGTCGGAGGAGACAGTTAACAAAAGCTTTGAAGGAAATGGTTAATCAATATAATTGGCTACTACAACGTTTGCCTTTGTAAACTCAAGAGTTAAATAGCGAACACAACGTTATAAAACAGAACATAATAATAATATTTCCTTACTATGAGTACGTACATCTTTACTAGCATAAATATTTGTTTATATTATTTTAACTACGTGAAAAAACATAAATTTTTCTTTGTAGTCTTCGATTTTATTACAGGTAAATCAGCCAATAAATTAGAATTTTCTATGTAAAAATACAAAAGTACTCATTGTATTTCTACATGAAAATTCACTTTTAATGTAGCACATTTTTAAGGTAAATGTATTTATAACATGATCCCTATTTTTTCTTTATTTTTTTAAGCTTGTAAAGTTTTTTTAAAATTATTTGGAGGAAGAGGATGGAATTAAAAAATTTAACATTAGGTAATTCGTCAGACAATTATAATCGTTTATCCCTTAGAAATAAATGCTTTTAGGACTGCTTCACAGCTCAGAAAAATGCAGCTACAGAGTTAAAATTTGGTGTACTAAAAGGACGACGTTCTTAGGTTTCTTATGACATCAAATTAATTTTTTTAATAGTTTGAAAATTCATACTTGTTTAAAAAATATTGCACTTTTAATAGGTTTCATTCATGAAATTTTTTTTTTTAAAACTTTAAATAATGAATTACAGTGCATTTTGCTTTGCTGCCCGAAAAGTATAACAATTACGAGCGTATAGCAATCACGATAAGTATAACAATTATTAAATTATTGACGAAAAGAATAGCAATTGATAAGATGTATAGAAAAATCTAAGAGAAGTACGTTGGAATAAAAAATTTTAAAATTTGTTTTCGATTCGAGACTTATATTGGAGAATACGAGACTGATTATTTGTTAAACCTGTGGCAAATAATAATATATTGCGTGTGCAGCTCTGTAGTTCCAAAAAATGTTATAAGAGAGTTGAAATTTAATGTACTGTATGAAAACACCACGCGTTTTCATTCAGCATATTTTTAAGATTTTCATAAAATTCTAAAATTTAAGAAGGATATTGTACTTTTGAATTGTTTTACTGCATATTTTTTCTTCCTTTTATAGACTAAATAATATCAGTTTATTCATTGTAACCAGAGTATAGGGGAGGGGGAACACGAAAAAACCAGCCTAGAAAAAAGTTTAAAAAAAAAAATAAAATAAATAAATAAATAAAATTCTTTATTTATAACGACCAATTCTAGCCATTGATTCCAAATTTAATCTAGGAACTTGTCCAATTTGTTGCGTATTGTGTTGTGATAAATTAATCATAAACAAATAATACTTTTTCAACTAACGATTTTTTTAAAAATAAAAGGTATTAAAATTATACACTTCATAATTTTTTGTGTTAAGATCAGTACTTTAACATAAGATTAACACTATGAGAGGCTATTGTTGATTGATATATTATATAAAATAATATTATATAAAATAATATTATAAAAGATTAGCAATTATTTTTTTTCCTCCAGTGCTTTTTCTATTTAATATTAGGACAACAGAATTCATTAAATGTTAAAACGTCAATAAAGCTGGGCAATAATTCGTTTTTAAATTTTTATTCTTTAAATAGTCGGAGTTGAAGATATTTTTTTAGTTAATAGTTAGTTCCTGTAGGTAAAACAAGAAAGAAATTATTTAGATAGTTATTTACAATTAAGTAAAATAAATAGTACTGGAATAAATATTATAATTGAAATGAAATTACTGATCACAAACATAACGAATCACATTTGAACATTTTTGAGCCTATGTTTAATCCAAACTAATAAAGAACAAAGAAAATCATTAGGACTATAAAAAATAAAACTTATTAATACATATTGTTAAATATTTACATAGCAATATATATTAATAAGTTTCATTTACTGCGCATAAGCTGCAAGCATA